AAAAGAGGGAAGTCTAGCATTGATTTTCATGGGAAGAATGAATGAACAGATTAAAAAGCAAGATATTATTCACAAAAAGAAAAAGAAAACAGCCCAGAGACTTCTTGGTACACAGAGAGAAGTTTATTATACCAAATAAATTCTTTCTCAGAGACATTTTAATAACTTTTTCCAACTCGTCTATAAATAGCTAGAAACAACATTCATCAATGCATTGTTTAATTACTGGCCCTCTGCCTTTCTTCCAATACTGTAACTTTTTTCCTTGTTCATATTTTCCTCTCTGTTCCCTGTGCTCTAGTTGTGCATTTGTAAATACTCATTGATTACAGGAATGCTGCTTAAATATTCTGTGCCATAAGGAAATTTTCCATGTAAAGTAGTGCCTTGAACCTCCCTATGTGCTGTTCTGAGTACATTAGGAAAATATTTTATATCATTCTGTTCCCAGAGTAGCTGATCAGGTGAATTTTGATAAGTAGAAGCAAGACATGCACCCAAGAAGACCTTCCCACTCATTTTCTGAAATATCTTTTCTTTAATGATACACTATTCCTAGTGCTGAAGATAATGAATTGCATCAAGAATACTATCTTACATACACTAATCCACATTAGTAATATTGCTACATCTTATGATAAAGGAAGTTGATTACTCTCCCAACTGTTTGCTGTGATTTATCTAGGAAGGTTGTAGGCTTCTCTTCACCAGATATGTTCAAGAAAAACCTGGGTAGATGTTTGCTGGTGAGCTCATTTTAATTTAATTGGTTTCCTGTTTTAGAATAGGTGTCCTCTTCCAGCTGTAATAATTCAAAATTAAAATGTTAAGATTTACAATACCAAATTATTATATTCCTATGTTTTATTTTAGGTTATATCTGTCTCTGACTTATTCAAGCATTGGCTCTTTCCAGGTAAATGAAAAATGACAACAATTATAATATAAATATGTATTAGAATACTTGTTGTGAAAATATAAAGCAATGAATTGTGAAAATACAAGGCAATGAGTTTTAATTCTGAGCTTAATCCAGCAGTTAAAAGCAGGGTTTTCCCTTAGATTGTGTGAATGAAGGGGCAATCTGACCTATTTCCACTTATGTCCTTTTAGCTATACAGAAACAGCTACATAATATTTCCAAGCAGTCAAGACATATATAGTAAGAAATGATCATTTAAAGAGAAAATAAATCCATCCCACTTCATTACCCTAAATCTATAATTTAAACATAGGTTTATTGAAAAGAAAATCAAAGGAGAATAAAGGATAATCGTAGAAAGGAGGACAGTCATAAAACTACATGCTTATGCTCAGATTTTTTACCTATTTGTATACTTCTTATAATAAAGTACAACTCAATATATTTGCTCTTGACTCCACAGCAATTCATAACTAGATAGCTATAGAATCATAAGGCTTGAGTCCATTTTAGTCTTCTGCCCAAGAAAGGAGTCATACTATCCTGGACAAATGATTTCCAATCTTTTCTTGAAAATTCCAGCAATGGAGCATCCACACCTCCAGGAAGCAAGCGGTTCCACTGATTAATTGTTTTTACTGTCAGGAAATTCCCCCTTATTTCCAGGTTGAGTCTGAATAAATGCTAGAAGCAAGAGGAATTACCAGGGATAAGAATAGACTAGGGACAAGAAGAGAGGGCTTTGGTGAAGTTTTATATTAATCAAGTCGGGTGATTTTTATTGTTTTTCTGGTCAATGGGCAGTATATATTCTTGTAGAAGTAAATTCCATCAGGTGAGAGATAGTCAGAATTGGGAATCTTAAGTATTTGTAAAATAATGCTGCTTGAGATATGATTAGACAAAATTTAAAAATAGAGTCAACTCAGAGGAGAACCTAAATGAAGCAAACTAGTCAAGGTCAGACTTTGCCTAAATATATGTCTATTTTCTGGAATTAGTGTTAAATATAACTTTCTATTATATAGGTCCAACATTTGAAGGACTTCTTATCTTACTCCTTACAAAATACAGTAATTCCACCAATCAGTGGTAAGAATTATGAAAACTTTCTTCTCAAGTTATGGTTCTTATGTCGTAATTTAAGTGAACAAATATTTCCAAGATCCTAGGTCTTATAGAAAGGTATATATAGCAGAAGTAGCCATCAACTGAGATTTTGTTGCTCCTTGAGAACAAGAATCAAAATGTAACTGAACCTAAAATCATATTTAAAAACAAATAGAACCATCAGCAATAAAATGCAATTAAGTCTTGAAAATAATAAATACAGAATAATAAATGTCAATATGATCAGAATCTACATGTACTTATTTGTTAGATTTATATCCAATCTTTTATCCAGAAACTTATGGAGACAGACAGACAGACAGATGTTAGATTTAAATCCCACCCTTATTTTGTCCAACCTTGTAAACCAGCCCCTTCTCTTATTTTCCCCACAATCACTCTGTGAGGTATATTAGGCTGAGGGGAGATGACTGATCCTAATGGCTAAGAGTTGATTTGAACTTGGGCATTCCATGTTGTAGTCTATAACTTGATTACACTATGGTGCTTTATAATTATTATTCATTCCTAGGAAGCCATCAAAAGGCTTCAAATTCTCCACAGCTTGTGTTACTAAGAAGCATCCATATTGCATCTGTTTATTGTGTATTTTCCTTTTAATGCCATTTTGTTTGTTTGTTACCTTAAGCTGCACTGAAGAGAGGATTACAGTTACCCACAATGGCCAAACTTGTTTTTTCTGAAGCTGTCACTGAAGTTAACAAGGTAGAATTCAGTTTTCTTTGCAAAACCTCCTCTTTGTTTCCTGCTCTTTTAAAATGCAAAATGATGGTGTCCTTGCTGATGAAACAGTTTAAGTTACTGAGAAGATATGTCTGGAAATATTCAGAACTTCAACCACAACTCAAATAACAACAAACTGCAACCCGCCTTGTTTTTAATTAAATAATCAGACATTGGCTCAAAATCTAGCATCAGTAGATAAACATTGGTATAATTAAAAACTGGAGGGCTTATTAGACTGATGTGCCTCTCCATCCCATAACATTTATGCAGCACCTTCATTTTCTGCATGTTAATTTGATTGTGTGAATTGTACCTAATTCTCTGTCTCTGTGGAGGCAATATGAGCTGACGTGACTTTGGTGCATGGTCACTCAATATGAGGAGACCCTTGAAATGGGGGTCTAAGTGGACTTGGCATTTTAGCAGGGAACCTGGAGCATTGTGTTAGTTTGCTTTGTGAAACACAACCCTGTTGAATATAAAGAAAATAATCTCAGCAACCATTCCAAGTTAATTATAATACAACTATTTCAGGACTGCTATGTTAATTAACACCTGTAAAAGAAACCACAACCTCAATCTCAGTTTAAAAGGGCAGAATCAGACATCTCATTTAGCTCTTTCAGGCTAGGCTTTTTGCTTGAAGTTTTCTTGATTAAAAATAGCAACTTTCAAGTCAGCAATGAAGTGTCCTAAAAATTGATTTAATTTTAAATTATGAATGTGTTATCTTGTAAGCCCATTCTGTTTCAGAATGTCTCAGAATCTTAAATTATACAATATATGAAATTTAGTTCTACAGGTTTCACATTTTAAACAATATTTTAGACTGCCTAATAACTAAAGTCCTCTCAGCAAAATAGAGGTAAGTTAAAATTGTGCGTCACAAATCCACAAGAAAACAATGATAATAAAATGCTGCAAAATACGGTCAGCAATGAGGAGTACAGTTAGCGCATTAGTAACATAAAAACCAAACAATGAAACTTTAAGTGTAATTGGAGATGATAAATTATTTCTTTCTGTTGCTGTTTTTAACTTCCCAGGGATATATACTGATTTCCACTGATCTAAATTACAAATATTAAGGAATCGGATGTTTCATCAAATGGAAGAATTACTGTGGAATACTTAGCACTCTGTAAGCAGTTTTCTCTAGATGATTTAAAGAAGATCATGACCTATCATTTGAAATAAAAGTGGAAAAAAAAACAAAACATTGACCATCTATAAACTTCCAAATACTACGGACAAATAATTTGTTAGTATAACCACATCACATTTCAAAATCTCAAAAGTTTGTTTAATATCACTATTACTGTTTGTGAAATAATCTGTTAGTATTTTCAGATTCTTTCTCAGGCATTGCACATGCAACCTCTGTGTTTTGGAATTAAAGTATTTATTTTAAGAAAAAAGGCAAATGTATAAATATTTCTTTGGGCCAAGAAAAGGCACTTTCAAAATGGTCTAACTTGTGAAACAATATCATGGAGCTGATTATTTTTATGCTTCTCAGGACCTAGCAGCATGCAGGATTACCAGATGTATGATTAAATAAGAAAAATGTTGAAGAACATATTCTGAATTGTTTAAATGGACTGACTTTTTAAATAGATGTTTTGAGCCTTGTCACTATCATTTGACGGCTATACAGATAAACTTCAAGTTACGACCATTCATTTAACAACTACAAGTTACAACAGCACTGAAAAAGTGACTTACAACAGGTCCTTGCACTTATAACCATTGCAATATCCCCCATGGTCACAGGATCAAAATTTGATCCTGGTCAACCGGCATGTATTTATGATAGTCATAGAGTCATGTGATCACCATTTGTGACCTTCACAGCCAACTTCCAACAAGCAAAGCCAGTAGGGGAATTTGCTTAATGACTGTGATTCATTAACTGCAGTAATTCACTTAACCTTTATAAAAAAAAAGATTGTAAAATCAGGCCTGAAAATGAAAGAACGTCTATGACTAAGAATGACCTCCAGCTATTTGATATACATGCAATTGATTCCATCTCTAAAACTGAAGTAATATTTAGGCCATGACCCACAATTGAATAGATGAATAGACAACATATTGATGGTGAACGAGTATGCTTCTACTATGTCTCCTTATATTCAAAAGTGTATGGAGGATGTCAGTGTTCTTAAGTCTATTATTATCATGCGAGCAAATGAGAAAAATGTCACAGAAGGTCCGCACAATGTTGACGGTGAGAAACACAGCTTTCAAATCAGGTTATGCAGCAGTACTTAGAATAGCAAGAGCTGAGTTGAAGCATGCTATAAAATCATCAAAATGGGCCTATATTCAGAAAGTGCAGAATTTCTTTCAAGATCCTATGGACCCGAGACGTATGTGGCAAGATATTCAGGTAATTACTGATTATAAGGCAGCTTCCCTGACATGCAAGGGTGACACAGACCTCTAAACCAGTGGTTCTCAACCTGTGGGGTCGAACAACCATTTCATGGGGGTCGCCAAACAATGCAGTCTGCCATTTTTCCCCCCCTTTTCCTTAGCTGTGCTACTCCCTTTTATTCTATTGGCTTTTGAAAGCCAATAGAATAGACTCTCTTGAATAGAGTCTAATTCTATTGGCTTTCAAAAGCCAATAGAAATTGTCCAGGCTGTCTCTGCCCTGCTGAGCCCGCCAAAAGTCCCATTCTGCAAACGGTGCTGCACCAGTTGAGTAGTCCTCGACTTATGACCGGTTGGGGGTCGCGGCATTAAAAAGGTTGAGAACCACTGCTCTAAACAAGCTAAATATGTTCTTGGGATAGTTTGAGGCCACAATCAACTTTCCAGCAAGGAAGACTGTTCCCCTTCCTGATGAGCAGGTGCTCAGGTTTGATACAATTGCTGTTCAGAAGGTCCTGCAGAAAGTCAACACTCAGAAAGCTGCAGGTCCTGATAATTTCCCTGGGCGAGTATTAAGGAGTGTGCTGACCAGCTGGCCACTGTTCTCACAGACATCTTCAATCTCTCATTGCATCAGGCCATGGTTTCATCATGTTTTATCATTGTACCAGTGCCCGAAAAACCTAAAATCACATGTCTTAATGATTACTATCCAGTTGCACTCACTTCCATTATGATGAAGTATTTTGAGAGATTGGCAAAGGACTATACGATTTCATTTCCCCCTACATTTGACTCATTACAGTTTTCCAATCGGAAGAACCGCTCTGTAGAAGATGCACTTTCCTGTGTGCTTCATCTTAGCTTGGCGCACCTGGAGGGGAAAAATACTCATGTGTGAATGCTGTTTGTGGATTTTAGTTCAGCATTCAACACAATCATCCCTCAGCAACTGGTGAACAAACTGGGCCTATTAATACTCCTTTATGTAATTGGATACTTGATTTCCTTATTGATAGACTCCAGGTTGTGCGAGTTGGAAAGAAGTTTCCAATTCCATCTCCTTGAGTACAAGTTCTCCACAGGGCTATGTCCTGAGTCTGCTACTGTTCACCTTGATGACCCATGACTGCTCTGCCAAATCTGCTATGAATCATATTTTGAAGTATGCAGATGACACAGCAGTGGTGGGTCTTATCTGGGATGACAATGAAGATGTTTACAGGGAAGAGGTGAAGGCTGTGGTGGACTGGTGCAATAAAAGTAACCTGGTTCTAAATGTTGTTAAAACAGAGATCATTGTAGATTTCAGAAAGAGCCGGCATAGTCATACTCCACTCAGTATCAAAGATGCAGTTGTAGAGGTGATCAACAATATTAAGTATCTGAAGGTGCAGATAACTAACAATGTGAATTGGTCTCTTCACATGTCATCCTTAGTGAAGTGTGCAAACCAGCATCTGCATTTCCTGCATCGGATGAGGAGAGCACATCTTTCTCCTTCTGTCCTGGCCACTTTTTACAGAGGCACGATTGAAAGCATTTTAACAAACTGCATCACTGTCTGGTTTGGTGGCAGCCGTGCCTCAGAAAGTCCACACAGAGAATGGTTAAGGACAGCCAAGAAGATCATAGGAAGCTCGCTTCCTGGTATTCAGGATGCTGCTTGTAAGCTCTATGTGCTTAGAGCTCAAAGCATTGAAAGAGACCCCACACACTCACTTTATGGTCTGTTTCTGTTGCTCCCCTCTGGGAGGAGGTTTTGAAGTATTTGTAGCAGGACTACCTGATTCTGTAATAACTTTGTTTCCTATGCCATCCGTCTGGTAAACTCACAAGATTTGTTTTTCTCGCCATGCACATGTATACATAACCCAAACTAGACTGTTGTTTCTCCGTGTCATATAATATATGTGGGTATATGCATAATTCTGTATTTATTTATTTATTTATTTTTGTCATATTTATGTAGTGTATATTGGAGGTGGTAACCCTTTGAGAGCTGAATTCAACAAAATTTCATTTTAATGTATGCCGATTAGTGTACATTCAAAGTGAACGTGAATGGCAGGATCAACTAGAATGCCACAAGATAGTAATCTGGAACTTTGTTTGAATTCATGTAGGAAACTTATGATATAGGATATCAACCAGATATCAATATCTACTATGCAGTATCATTTATAATTAGTGAAAAATAAAAAAAACTTAAGTACAATTCTATTGCATCAAACCAAGGCCCAGCTCAGTCCAGTATTTTGAAGTCAACCAGATTTAATTATTTTTATTTTTATTCATTATTTAAATCTGCATATCAGCCCACTTTTTTTAACACATGACTCTGGGCATGCAACATTTACAAATAACCAATAATAAAGATAATTTAGAAACAACTCATATTATCCAGGATGGTTCAGAAACAAACATATAAACAAACATGCAACTATACCATCAAGATAGACTCATCCATGGATAAAATGTCTTAATATAAAAGATATGCCTTTAATTCAGAAAGCTGTCCTTTAGGTTTATATAACTTAATTTATTTGGGGGTTTTGTGCTTAATTTTTCCTTTGTAAAGAAAAAGTTATAAACAATTTTTAAAAATATGCTAATGAACCTCTTTCAGGTTTTCTCCTTTTTCAAATTTGTCTTTTATTTTTGCCTGCCTCCAGAGTCCTATTAGATGAAATGGTTTCTAGATGGTACAGTATGCCCTCCCTATTGGTCTTTATGAATCAGCCCTTCAAGGGAGACCAGGTCAGGAAACGGACACCACAAGAAATATTAGAACTCTACTTTATTGGTAAAAGCTATAATAGCAGCATCTCAAAAACATGACAGCAGGGCTTCTTGGGTTGTTGCCTCTCCCTCTTATAACAAAGAAAATCAAGAGTTTCTTTCTCATGCTTTCCTGGTTTTCTGGACTAAGTTCATGTTTTTCAAGTGATTGCCACATATTTTCTTCAAGGACCTTTCCATTTCCTTTATACAGGACAAAAAGAAATAATTGGAGATAAGTAGGCCCCACAAATAACGCAGTCCTACATCATGAAGAGCTTCATAGATAATAACCGTTATCTATGGCAGTGATGGCGAACCTTTTAGAGACCGAGTGCCCAAAAACTGGTCCCGCCCCTGCTCCGCTCCCACCCCACCTGCCCACAGGACCACTCACCACCTCCAGGGCCCGCTGCAGATCACCCAGCAGCGCCATGGCAGCCACACCCTCTGCCCATGCCCCGCAGCATCAACTGTTCGCGATGGGGCATGAGGGCAGAGTCTTGTCTATGCTGCCTGGCTGCCATGTCCTTGACTGTACTGTTCTGCGTGGGCCACGCTCAGGGACAACCCTTCTCCAGGAGGGCTGCTGGTGAGGAGGGTGTCATGGAGGGAGGCAAGACTGGGGCAACAACATGTGCCCACAGAGAGGATTCCGAGTGCCGCCTCTGGCACCCGTGCCATAGGTTTGCCGCCACTGATCTATGGTATGACCCAAAGACACACCAGAATACCTTTGGGATGGAGACATAACTTACTTCCACTATTGTTCTTCTGCAAATGATATTGGAAGACATACTACCTCTAACCAGAGGTATCACTGGTTCCCTTATAAAACATGAAATTATTAATTTTTCTTTTAAAGCTATCCAGCATAATGGTCAAAACTACATTCGAGGTTAATGAATTCCCCAAGTGTCTTCTTTTAATCTCAGCAGATATCATTCATACAGAAGAAAGAGATAGAGAACCAAAGTTTAGGGTTTAGAGGTTTAGAGAACCAAAGATTTGCAAACTTTCAAAATGTTCTGTATGGATAAAGCCCTCTTGGAGGAACCAAACTATATAGACCAAGAAAGCCAGAACATACCTGAGGATCCTGGCCTATTTACCACAGGTGATAAATATATACAGTATTCTAAATAAGACCCTACAAAACTGCCATATTTTAGAAATAACTTTTTTTCTTTATTTTGTTTTGCTTCACAAATATATACTGAATGTACAACTTTGCAAAAAATCCAACATTTGAAACATGACTTCAGTTATTAATAGTCTAACAAGCTCTCAGCACTTGGCAGATTATACATCTTCATCAGGCTATCCTTTTCTATAATTCACGCTTCCCGACCTTATGAGACCCATGAACTCTATTAGACTAAAGTCTCCATAAACCAATGCTTCTCAAATAGTGGGGCGCGCCCCCCAGGGGGGGCGCGAGGCTCCGTAAAGGGGGGCTCGTTTGACCTCGGCAAATGCTGTCATATTGGATTTCTAGATCGGATCATCCGACTCACTCGCAAGCGGCAGCCCGACGCGGAGGACAACATGACCGCCAATGCACGTGACACATGCAAAGGACCCAATTGGATAGACATGATGCTCTATCCTGATTGGCCAAACCCGCCCGTGTGACTTTTAGACCCGGAAATTGGTCCTCTGTACAGAAAAAAAATTTTTACAGTCACGCGGGGGGCGCGAAATGTTTTCTTCTTCCTAGGGGGGCATGACAGAAAATAATTGAGAAGCACTTCCATAAACCATTATCAGGTCAAGGAAGGGTGATTCATTGGCTTTCATCAAACCCCTAAAGTTCCTGACCTTCTATACCAGGGGTCTTCAAACTTGGCCCTTTTATGACTTGTGGACTTCAATTCGAGGAATTCCTCAGCCAGGCACACTGGCTGAGGAATTTTGAGAGTTGAAGTCCACAAGTCATAAAAGGGCCAAGTTTGAAGACCACTGTTCTATATTGAGATTTTCCTTTGCAAATTTAAATCCCTAGTTAGTCTCTTTGTAAGTTCTAGAGGTAGACAGAAAATATCATGGGAAGATCTAGGAGTTTCTTTAGGAGAAGTATATATTCTCTCTCTATCATAAACAAGGATTTTGAAATGAAGAATGGATGATGAGAGGGACCAAGAATAAATGTTTGTAGGAAAAGAACTAAAAACTATTCTTCGAAACTTAGCTGAGCATATTTCCAAAAGTGTTTCCTTTCTTAATTCTATGCATTTTGGCTAGTTTTAAACCTAGCTTCAGTCATTCAATATGGGAGTCCCAACAAAACAACATCTTTGATCCCATAAGGCTAAATTCTGCAACCATAAAGCATATTAAGGGTTTGCCCTTATTCTAATATCAGAAGCAATATTATCAACAATGTTTGCTGTTTCAGAGACCAAATCTGTTGAAAATCCATCAAGACAAACAAACGGAACTGAAAATTATTTTTAACTCTGGAGCCTTTTGTATTCTGGCCAACAATACAATAATCAGGCTTTTGCTTTAATAAGGAAAATAATTATGCATAAAATTATTATATGTCAGAGTTTCATTCCACGGTAACTAAACTTTTGCATCCCTTTTAGAAACCATTTACCAGTAGTTTTATTTGTCCAAGGAGTCATGAACCATTAAAAAGATAGGAAACATCTGAGAAAGCCATTCAGCAATAGCAACAGCTCAGAAATCTACAAAGATGGAAATAGAGGAGTAATCTTTTATCTTTTTAAGGAATATCTTAACTAGAATAGTTAATGTTTGCTTGAACTTAACATATAATTAAAGATTTCTTACAGATTATGTTCATTGCATGAGTTTCCATCACAACTGGGTTATAAATAAAGGTGCTTACTTATGAGATAGACAAGATTCATCCTGTGCTCACTGAGATACATGCTAACAAAACTAAGGTAATGGAAACCCATTGATTTGGTGATTAATGAGATGGTTAGCTGGTGGGAGAAAAGAAGCTTTGATTCTAAGAGAAGTACTTATTTGAGAGTCTTTCAAGAACAGAAAGAAAAAAAAATTCTCAGCTGGTCTAAAATGAACCAAGCAAAATTAGCTTTCAGCAGCTGATGGCCAAAATAAGTGCTATTGTGTAGCAAGGCCTATCTGAATTCAGTGAGCTAGATCACCACTTCTGCTCATTGATTCTAAATAAAAAGCCTGTTTCTCATAAACTATTCAGTGAGAAAGTACTCTGTGTAAAACAAACTTAATTTAGGAGGTAAACATAATAACTAATGAATGAAATTCATGGTGAAGCTGAAAATTCTAGATAACAAATCAACCAGGTCAGTAGAAAGACAGATAATTTATGTTTCTATCCTTTGTTATAATTTGTGGATCATATGAGTGATACATAGCCCTTTTGCCTTGAGTTCTGGATGGTAAGCATCTTGTTTAAAGATGGCCATTGTATAGAGCAGGGGTGTCAAACTGCCGGCCCACAGGCCGGATGTGTCATGCCGAAACTGCGCACACCCCACTGCTGGCAATGGAGAAAAAGTTGTGATATATCATGACACGTCATGTGACGTTGCAAGTTTGACACCCCTGGTATAGAGAGATTTTTTTAAATTAGAAGCAGGAGAAAGTAGTTGTGATAAAAACTAGCCACCGTGTCAGATTGAAAACTAATATATAATGCTTGCATATTGGACTAAGAATAGGAGGACTCAAATTCACCTCAGCCAAATCATTTTTTTAATTCAAAGCAAAATTACTCAATTAAAATATGAAAATGTTATTTCAGTATCTTTTTACAAAGAGTTGTCCAATTATTGAGTTGCTATCTGTAATAGACAACAAACAATGTAGGTGTGGGAGGGTGGATTGCCCAAAAAATAGCCAGCAGTTGTGCTGCATTCATCCTGTTTCTTTAAGACCTCTCCCCACTCAGCAGGGCAACTATAAAAGCTGTGCTGAGGAAGTGCTGTGGTAGTTACATTTGTGTGAGAGAAGAGACACAGTGCAAGAAAGAGAAGGTGTGTATTAGTGTGTGGAAGTAAAGCAGCTTGAAAGAGATAATTTTCTCTAGCAATACATAGAGTAGGACTAGTAGGATTCACAAAGAGTAGTAGTTGGAGTAGGGGTGAGTAGGAATAGCCTGTGAATGCATGTGTATGTGTTGCCTAGGGATCTGTGTTGTGCTGGTTCTTTTGTGTTTTGAGCCCACTAAATTGGGTATACTTAAAAGCCTGTGACAAAGTGTTAGTGGTGGGACATTCAACACAAGCATGCAACCACACAAGTGGAATTGGCTTAAACTCAAGGAAATCATCAAATACTCCACGGAAAGAAAACAAACCTAGGAGTTTGGCCCTTGCAATGCTCATACTTTGCAGGCAATATCCAACATCCTGGCTGCAGAAACCAGACATTCACTAGAGCTTACACCAAACAGACATGGAAAAGATAGAAGGGACAGATTCTCCCTTAGAAGAGATTACTACTTTTGTAGAAACATATATTTACTCTACACCTGTAATTAAACCAAAGAAGAAAGTAGACCAATAATTGTGCTAGGCTCTTATACCATTATAAAAATGTTGAAGCCACAGCAAGAGGAAAGGCTTTGATTAATTAAAAGAGGAAAAAGAGCAGCTTTGGAGGGAGACAGAGAGAAAAGATAAGCTAGAATGAGAAAAGAGTCAAGAAAAAAGTTGGGTGGGCTGACTTAAAGGAATCCAGTCACCAGAAGGGGCACATTCGCTGCTAGGATTTTCAGAACATAGAGGAGGTAGTACCAAAGACATAAAAATCTCTAAATTGACAGAGAAAGAGAACAATAGAAGCTTGCTTTACTATGTTTGAATTACTACATCTTGTAAATGGCCTGAGAATGAATGTTTAATGGGAAAAGCTTTGAGAACTTATAGTAGTCTTCCAGCAAGAGAAGTAATGGATTATTACTATGTTAAAGGGATCTTATACAGTTGTGTGGTATAAGCCCTTACACCTTTAGGCAGGGATTTAGGAGCTACACATATGGCAAACATGAAGGATTTGTGTATTAGACTTTTCTGTATCTCCTTGTTGCTAATTAATAGTCAACTACATTTGTATGGCCCAGACTGGGTAGCATAGCTCAGCCCAGACATTTCATGTTTCAGACTGAAATTCTAGCACAATGATATTAACTTCTTTGCCCTTTAGTTATCTGACCAGCAGAATATGATATTCCAGCAAAATGTGTAGTTATAATTAACCTGGTTTGATGCATGTTAACCTGAAAGTTTTACTGAAGATAAAAGGCTCTTGTCAACATAATATTGAGCTAATGTTTTGGTATTTTATAAAGATTTGCTTCAGTTAAATGACACTTGTCTCTCAACAATCAAAACAGCCTTTATTTTCATTAGAAAGGAAGTCAATTTGCCTATTCACTATTGTGCATAATTTTATTGCTAATTTTTGTGAGAAGCTTAACCTCAACCTAATCTAAATTAGAATGTGTTCACTGATTCCAGTTCCCTGCAGCAAAGTGTCATAAGAAAAAAAATTCTGGATGTTCACAATATAAGCACTTAGAAATGAAGGAAGGTTTAATATTGCCAATATTTTATTCCGAAGTTCAGTTCTGGTATATAAAGAAAAATGTGATTCCAAGAATATGCAGAATATCTTCACATTTTTATAATTGTCTTTTCATGATCATGGTGCTAAGTTTTAAGGGTGGGAGGTTTCTCTCCTTCTAGAAAAAAAAATGAACAGTTGTGGTCAGCTAGTTAAATAGTCCATACTTAGTCATCAATTTTTTTTAAATTAATTTATACATTTCTGTGAAAAAAGGGAGAAAGACAGGAAGAAAGAAAATGAAAGTTTCTGTCACTTTCCTTATCTTGGGCTTACTCATCCTGCTTCTTGAGGCTAACCCAGGAATCAAGGTGAAAATCACACAGAAAGCATTGGACTATGGTAAGTATGGAAGAAAAATTTGGAATTATGACTATGTTGTAACCTTCAGAAGAAGGAATGCACCACAGGACATTTAATCAAGATGTTGAACTAAATGCCAACCCTCATTGTACCAGTTAAGGTTAATAAATAATGTATCTTCTCCTTAAGAGGAAATTTCCCTTGAGTTCTTACAAAAAATATAGGATATTTTAATAATTGGTTACACGATCAACTAGATGTTAGGTTGAATTTGGCATTTTTATTCACCTATTGAGTCCTTTCCAAAAACTTGGGATAGGCAGATGTTGTTTAAATGTGTTAATGTATCATTGCAGGATGTAAGCTGTTCCGTAAAGCTGCCTTTTGCAACTGATTAATGGTGATTTTATCATTAGTGATGGTGCTCAAGTGGATGATTTAACCTTGACAAAATGGGCAGCTATAATTTTAACGTGGTGCTCCATTGTTTTGGGATTGCACCCAAAGCACCTATTACTATCATACTCTTTTCTTTCTTTTGCTACAGTATCATAAATTACTATTTCAGTGAAATATATGATGTATGCTTATAGGAAATCAACTTGGAATAGAGCTTCTGAAGCAGAAGTTAAAGGAAAAGATCTTTGAAGACTGGAATGGAGAATCTACACATGCATTTTTTGCACTCAATTACACAATTTCAAAGTAAGAAATGTTTTCATAAGAGGGCCCTTTAGTATAGCTCAGTGTTAAGTACTTCCAATGTTTTTCTATTCCTCTTAGGCCAGTGGTTCTCAACCTTTCTAATGCCGCGACCCCATAATACAGTTCCCCATGTTGTGGTGACCCCCAACCACTTATACATCATCTGGTGCCAGGGGCGTGGCCAAAGAAAAGGGGGAAAAATGGCGGACAGCCTTGTTTGGCGACCCCCGTGAAATGGTCGTTCGACCCCAAATGGGGTCCTGACCCACAGGCTGAGAACCGCTGTCTTAGGAAGTGTGCACTTCATTAAACTCATAGCCCTGTCTGTGAGCAAGCACTGTTTTAATATAGATTTCTCAAAGTTCCAGTTCTTTACTACACCCAGCAAATCTATTTGATCCTTTTTTTTCAGCTTTAGTTTTGAAATGGATGAATGAATGTATGTAGGCATTCTTTCTGTGCTTATTGGAATCTGAATTCCAGTTGAAGAGATTACCTAGTATAGCTATCTTCTAGCCCTCTCCCAGTTCCTAATTAATGTTTCATATAGCCCAATTTATAATGTGCCTCTATGATCTTTCTGTTATGGACAAGGCTCAAAAGCCATTTCTATGGACAGATTAACTATGAGGTTGAAAGACAAAGAAGATACAGACTACTATCAAATTTGGAATTTATTTTATTCTTGGTTAGAGAAAAGAATGAAGGATTAGGAATTGAACATGTATTAGCTTAGCAACTCCAGACAACTTGTTGATTGGAAAAATTAACATATGTTGATGAGAAAAAAAATTAACAAAAATAAGAGTGATGAAAAAGCCATTTCTAGTCTGCATAAAATTAAGCCAGTAATCTCAAAGGATGATAGAAGAATAAACTGGTGCCATGTTTGAGTCACTAACTGAGCAAACTCAGCCTTGCTCAGAGCACTCAGAGCACAGAGCAATATATATTCAGGCACTGAACATAGAAGACCTAGTTATTCTCTTACACAAATACAGGTAGTCATCAACTTATGACAGTTCACTGAGTGACCATTTGAAGTTACAGTGGCACTGAAAAAAAGTGGCATGATCATTTTTCGCACTTATGACCATTGCAGCAACCCCATAGTCATGTGATTTACATTCGGATGCTTGACAACTGACTCACATTTATGATGATTGCAGTGTTCCGGGGTCATGTGAATACCTTTTGCAACCTTCTGACAAGCAAAGTCAATGGGGAAACCAGATTCACTTAACAACTGGGTTACTAATTTAACAGTGATTCACTTAACAGATGTGGGAAGAAAAGTCGTAAAATAGGGCAAAACTCACTTAACAGATTTCTCACTTAGCAACATAAATTTTGGGCTCAATTGTGGTCATAAGTTGAGGACTACTTGTATACAAAGAAAAACCTATCAAGTGATGGCTTCCCTAGTGCAGCATTCTTTCTAAATATCCTGATTGAATTGAATAACTGGTCTTCTGGAAACTTAAAACCAAGTTTTTTTGGAGACTCTTTGGAAAGGGAATAGTCAGCATCTTATTGAGATACTACGGCCCAAGAGTGCTTTTCAAAAGGCAACTAGACTTTCTTGGTCTTCTTTCTTGCTCCTGTGGTCAGCAACACCACCCACCAAATCAGCAATTTGCAGGACTTGGGAAAGTCCAGTTATCTTTTGAAAAGCATCTTTGGGACAAGCATGATCTGGACAATTGAGAATCTCAATAGATTTTCAGCCACTCACTTTGTGACAGTATGAAAAAAATGTGTGTTATCTTTATCTTTATTTTATATAGTTGTAGGACAAGTCACCCAAAGTCATTTTTTTAAGCTTGGCAGTATACCAATTTAATAAATTAAATAAATGTAGTTTGGCTAGTGTCACCTAAAAAAAAAAAAAAACATTAGAGCCTATCAAGTCCTGCAGTGCTAGGAAAAATAGATATAAATGCATGATATAAAATCTGTAGGTGCTTAGTGTTTCAGCAGAAATTGAATAGTTTGGGTTACTATTCCTGCTAGCCTTACCTATATTCATGGATTGTGGTATAAATCAAGCTAACATAATTTTGGTGTTTGACAGGTTAAGAATTGAAACCATGGAATTTCCCAACACATCCTTGTCTCTCATCTCTGGAACTGGAATTAAACTATCAGTGGAAAATGCTTCAGCAATGGCTCATGCAGATTGGAGCGTGGAGACCTGGCTATTGTAAGGGGAATAATGAAGGCAGATATTAATACCATGTCAGCTTTACAAATTCAAATGCTGGCACACATTTTATAAAGCACAAATAAAAGTCTCAGGAAGAGGAGGTGGAAATGCAAGGCTTTTGTTCAATTGTGGTCCTGTCAAAAAATGTCCCTGAAAGTGGCTGTTTGAATCAGGAGGGACAATTGTCAAGGCAGAATGGTGAAAGTACTGGAACAGATGGACATATTAAACAACCACTAAGGCATAATTATATTTTAATTTTAAAAAGTCACCAGTATTGCAGAATAAATAATAGAACTAGGGTTATGTGCTTCATCTTGAGTTCCTTGGAAGGTGTTGCAAAGGGATAAAAACTTCTGCCTTTTTGCAAGATCAGACAGTCTTCCTCTTGAAGAAATAAGTATTTAGACATATTTAAGACTAAAAAACTCCAACTTCTAGATTTTTGCCGGCAAAGGGAAAACCTGGATTAATTAAAAAGATGGTTTTATCCTGGCTCACATACTGTAGCAAATAGGGAGATTCAGGAAGTTAAGGGGAGCAGCTGCATCCCTCTGCCTTCAGCATCTGCAACCACACACAACGATCTTATCCTGCCTAAAAATAGAACCAACTTTGTAAGAATGCAAATGTGTGCCCACTGAATAAACCTCAGGTGGTTACAGGTAGCCCTAGACTTATAACAGTTTGTTTAGTGACTGTTTGAAGTTATAAACAGCACTGGAAAAAGTGACTTAGGACCATTTTTCACACTTATGACCATTGCAGCATCCCCGTGGTCAAGTGATCAAAATTCAGATGCTTGGCAACTGAATCATATTTATGACAGTTGCAGAGTCCCAGGGTCACATGATCCCCTTTTGCAGCCTTCTGACAAGCAAAGTCAATGGGGAAGCCAGATTCACTTAACAACCAGGTTACTAACTTTAACAACAGCAGTGATTCACTTAACAACTGTGGCAAGAAAGATTGTAAAATGGGGCAAAACTCACTTAACTAATGTCTTGCTTAGCAATAGAAATTTTGGGTTCAATTGTGGTCATAATTTGAGGACTACCTGTACATTGTTTCGGGTGAGTGGAATTGCCTTTCTGGCAGATACTTCTGATGTATTTGGGCATAGTTGATTTTGAGTCAACTTTCCATAATTTACTGCTATCCAGGGATGTCAGCAAGAAATGATGTGAGGCATCTGGAAGGCAGGCTTTGAGATTTTTAGCTATGTTATATTGCCTGCTAACATGTGTTCGTCAGCATAAGCAACCCTGGCATTTTATTTTTTTATTAATTTTATTAAATCTCAATGAGAAATAAAATACAAAATAAAATATTTTACTTTCATTATTAGACATGTATATGTATACATTTTTGTGTTTATGTTTAAACTTAGAGGTTATTTTGTTATGTAATTCTAAAGCAATTCTGGCATTTTCTTGAGAACAAGATGATAAAATGAGTATTTTGTGTCTTATTGTCCGCAGCAAAGATTCTGGAAGTGGGGCTGTCTTCATCTCAGGAATATCTCTCAAAGCAATTGTAAAAGTGTCTCAGAATGTATTCGGTCATTTAAAATTGTCGCTTGACAGCTGTAAAGGAGATATAGATGATATGGACATCAAATTGAGTCAATCTTATAGGTATAATGGAAAATGTTCTAATTAAAAAGTATATTTGCAAGTATTGATTTTAGGATCCCTAAAACATTTTGATTATCAGTTTTTAAAGACTGGTATCTGTAGCTTTTACTATTACCCCAAATGTACCTTAAATCTGCATTAACCTCATTTCCCCCTACACTAAGTACGGGATACAGTATATATTCCCTTAGGAAAATTGAAATGAAAGGAACACATTCCTAAATCCAGAAAATGTTGAGGTCCATGCTTCAAATTTAAATTCAAATTTAAAATTATATTTCTCTGTACTTTTCTACTCTCTGGAATTTCTGCCCAAGGCTGGGAAATATCAGATGAAGAATATAAATTGAGCTTTCCCTAGCAATATACCTATATCAGGGAATTCTGGGAGTTGAAATCCATGCTTTTTAAAGCTACCAGCATTGAGAAACACAGCTTGTCTAGATCATCACACTTGTGCCAGATTGAGAAAGATAGATAGCAACATTATTTATCTCGTTTGACATAAAATGAGGTAATTGCTTATGCTTCTATGAAAACATATGTTAAGGATGCTTACTGATGTTAACTGTAAGGAAACCACTGCATTACATGATATGATATTATTGAGTTATTTTTACTCTGGAACATATGGTATATGCATTCATTGCTATTTTTTATACCAGTTTTAGATAATTTCCTCTCTCATAATTTATATTGTCTTTATAGCATAATCCAGTCATCATTGAAATGAGATAAAAGTGGCCATTGTTGTTGGATGACTAGGAATTGTCACATGACTTGATTCAAGTATGATAAGGATTAACAGCAGAAGTCATTCCTCTGGTGGAGCTGCATAGTCATCAGAATCTTACATAAGTGGTATATTTCAGGAGCTTCCAGATTACTAATATTCCCAAAAATTCTCAATCTCACAAAAGAAGTCATTTTGAAAAATCAAATATCAAGAGTTAACATTAAAATAAATACCACTAACTCAAACTTAGAGCTATTTTGGAAGCTACATAAACTGAGGTACATTACCAAACTGATTATTGTTTACAAATACTATATTCCATAATACTACAGAAAGCACCCCTAGTAATTACTGTATATTTCTGAGGCTCACTCCTCCTGGTGGTTCAGCATAATTGACTCAACAGATAAAGGTGAGTCATTTGACTAAGAAGGAAAAATATGTCTAATAATTATAATAAGAACTATCAGGAAATATGAAGTACAAGGCCACAATCTTGAACACATGCCAGCAGTTTCTTACTAAAAATAACTTCAGATTTATTTGCAATAAATATTCTAAATAATTGGGAAGCATTTAGTGGAAAACTGATACAGGACTTCAGTTACGATTCAACCGTATTCAAGAACATGACAGTTCCTTTTGTCTCCTAAAATTTGGGGATCAGTTTAAAAAATCCAGAATCATTTAGCTTTTATTGAGATTGATGTCCCCATATAATAGATGTACACATACAAAATTTAATTAATTCAAGTTAACAATATTCTTGCTTTTTTTCAGATTGTTATATACATACTCTACTGCTTCTGTGGTTACATCGCTGTGTAGCATGCTGGCCTCAAATGTAAGCCACAAGGATTTATTTCATAATGTTTTCTTCATCCAATTTCTTCTAAAAATATGTTTATTAAAATAAATAAAATAAATAACAAAAGCCTTAATACATGCAAAAATGTTATAATGATTTTGCAGTTTATAACGTGTACCATTTATGTGCACAAATTGCCATAAAGACATTTTCAGAACAAAAAGATGATTTAACGTGGCATATGAATGTTTTCATAAGGCTGTTTCATGTGCATTATTTGAATAAATTGGATGTATAGTTATATGTATATGTACATGTATGTGTGCGTTTTTGTATAAAAAATCTAGGCATGATTTATTTTGCTCAGATCGATGGTAGAACAGGAAATGAAGGAACCTTTAGTGGCTTAGAAATTAGGGTCAATGCATTTTAAATGAGTGTATATGTTTATTATTTATTTAAAACATCTATAGCAAATATTTTCTTGTACCGGTATTTATTTTCATCACATATGTAATATACCAGAAGATAAGTCCAGACATTAGAAATACATCACTTGAAATATTCTAAATATCTCACTTGGGATGTTTATTGTTCAACTCCATAAACATCAGAATCATTGTCATCATTTTTTATTTATGGATTGCTGTTGTACATTATATTCTCTTCTTAAACTATAGTTTCTCTGACTATAGTTTCTCTGACTATAGTAAATGAATTATTCGGCTTTCTAAAGCTGAATAAAACTTTTTACATGCTCCAGAATTATAGAGCTTCCTTCCTTTTGAAAGGTATCTGAGGCCATGCTTGGATATTTTTCAGAAATTTTCTGTTTTGCTTTGTTTCTACAAACTTCATTGATGAAGGACAACACATTTAGAGTGAGATTTATAGTACTGATTATGTATTTAACTGATTACAACAAATGCATTCAATTATGATGGATTTTTAAAATCACTATTCTTCAAATATAGGATAAAGCAAGCTATAAGTATAGAGATGCAGAATTGTGAAGTCTTAGGAAGATCTTATTACCAACATATAAGTAAACATTGACCAAAATAATAATTTTGCTTGTATTCCTATAGTTGTGTCAACAAGTGAATTGTGTGATCCAAAAGATTAATAAAAACTTCAACCAATATCCAGGTATGTTTTCTGGTTTGTTTTAGCAAACTGAGCTAATGATTTTAGTTTTTATGAAAGCTTCCAGTTCTAGTAAACTAGTGATGGAATAATTTTACCATGCTATGGTTGAGTTTCTGAAAATAAAACTGATGGCTAGAATGATACTTTTGCATAGTTAAAAAATATAATAAACTTGCTTGTTTTATAGAATCATAAAATTATAGAGTCAGAATGGACACACAGATCTAATCCAGCCTTCTTCAATGCACAGGAAAATTGGTTAGATGGTGAATGAGAGATGGCTTGTTCTGGTAGAACTTTCTGTAGGATGCAGTCTCATCAAAAAGTCCAAAATTATGATTGATGCTAAATGAACTTATATGGCAGAAGTACCTAATTTTTGCAAATTTATACTTAAGCAAACATGTTTAGGATTATGTTGAAAATATAGCTTTACAATATTTATGTAACTATTCAAGCAGTTTCCTGTACTAGTACCATTGCTTTTATAAAAATTTATTATCAGGACTAGTTTGCATCCAGCCTATTGTCATTAAGCATCTGACAATTTTATCCCATATCCCAACAGTCCAAGTTCAGATTGGTCACTTTGCAGTAATAGACTATTCCCTGATAAACTCTTCAACTATCTTGGAATCATCAATTGACTTGGATTTAAAGGTAAAGTCTAATATATTTATAATGTATAATTTTCTGAAATTGCATTACGATATGTCTGTTATTCATTTGAAGGAATAAGCATCATTATTTTTCTCAATAACTTTGATGGTAAGCCATATCAAAAGATATTTAAGTATATTAATTAGTGCTATTTTTGCTGCACCTATTATTTCCTACTCTAGCCAGTAGCAAGAGTTGTGAACCCAAATAGTCCAAGACTTCAGGGACATCTTCAAGTCACAGTTCATTTTTAATTTTTTTTTTAAAGTTTGACTTTTGAGTCTTCCATATTTAGGGTCCTAGAACTGTACTCGGTGTTCTGGCCATATGTCTTATTGCATTATGCTCTTAATTTCAAGGATGCATTTCAGTGATCTGGTTCCCTGAAAACTTTTGATTCTGTTTTAAAGGCCAAAATTTGCAAGCTATGATATCTTGTCACTTCTGCCATTCTTTTCAGGGAACAGTACGTCCAGTGGGAGAAACCACAGAACCCCCCTTCAAGCCAACTCCCTTTGTTCTTCTGAATGAGAACAACTCTATGTTCTATATAGGAATCTCAGAATATTTCTTGCAGTCTGCTTCACTGGCTTATTACATTTCTGGAGCTTTTACTATCTCTGCTGAGCAAGAGGAAATGGTAAGTGCAAAATACTATGTTTCAAAGAAAGGGGTGTTAAACTAACCAAAGAAAGAAGCAACCTAGAACTAAGGAGAAACTTCCTGACAGTTAGAACAATTGATCAGTGGAACAACCTGCCTCCAGAAGCGGTGAATGTTATGTATTAGTCTGCCATTTAAAATCCTACCCAAGCTCAGCCTTCTCCTTGACGTAGTTTACTATGGGCCTTTTTCCCCACTTGCAACTAACAGTGAAGCCTGTTTTCTGCTATGTTTCCATGGCATTGCCTTCATCCCCTCTCCAGCTCATGAGTGAGTGAAACTTCAGTTGTCCTGAACAATGCTGGGGCTGAAGCAGAATGTTTGTGCTTGTTCTGACATCTTCAAATTGGAGCCTGAAAGTAACTGGGAACAAAGGCAAGAGAAGCAAGTTAGGGATTGGCAGTAAGGATATAGATATAGTTTCTGTCTACTCAAAATTGGGTGGACAGGACTTCAGATCAATAGTTCATAAGGCTGCATGAGACAGAAATTAATGAAGAGAAGGACTTCATCTTTCCAAATAGAAACGTCTGAAGAAGGGATCTGGATGCAAAGGAATCCCTAGAAAGGCCTCTAGGATTTGCAAACTGTTCTTAGTAATATGAGCCATTTTTTTTCCTTCACATCTGTCTGATCTCTTGGCTTTGTATGGACATACTCTATTAGCCCTCTGGAATTTTTCCATGACAACTACATTCTGAAGCATAGGGATTCCGGAAATTGCAATTCCAATACATCTATTTATTTATAAGTGTTCTCTATTTGATGATAGCTCATACAGCATCTCTTGGCTGATGTTCAAAAGAATTCCAAATGGTATCAAGCTTTAATCTTTAGTAATATCATGAGATTGGGGTGGGAATCTAATGACTTGCTTTCATTTGTGGGAACCTTAGTACAGAACGATTTAATAACTCCTATACCTTAATATTTATGGGTTTAATTAAAAAAACCTAAAAATCTGAGAGTTATACACAAGGTCTGTCCAAATTCATCTTTGTTCACCAATCTCTCTCTTCCTCTCCCTCTTCCTCCCCCACTTTTCTTTGCTAATTACATTTTCCACCTCCAAATGGAAATAGAAATAATATTTTGCAGGTTTAATTTGCTTATGGCTATCACATTTACTAAAAGCTTCTGTCAAACAGAAGTATTTCTGAACAAATATTTAACAGAATTCTTTTTGCTAATAAGAACATTGAAATCAGTATGTTCTTTTTAAAAGCAGAGAAATGCATTTAGGCAGTAAATTAAAACACCCTGGTAAATAATTGACCTGTACAGCCTCTGTTGGAACACATTAGGTGAAAAGGAAGCCATTGTCTCCCCAGATAATTAAGTTCACCCAAAGGCACACAATTTTCATAAGATAACCTAACATGTAATTTCATTTTACAGCTTTCTTCTTATTTCAAGTTAACTACAGATACATTGAATAGCATCATTCCCACTGTAAGTGTTTTTCATTTCTTCGAAACTTGCTGTTTGCATTTTTAAAAACTTGTTTTAATTTTTCTGAAACTTGGTCTCTACTTCTAAACTTTACAGATTTCTCATATTTATGCAAAGCCACTTCCAGTAATTATGAACATAAGAATTATTGATGCACCTGTGATTAGTCTGCATGACCATAAATCCATCCTGGTGTTTTCTGCTTCTGTGGAAGTATTGGCAAAGATGCCAAACTCAACCACTGAATCCATGTTCACCTTGAACGTAGTAAGTCTTACAATATCCAATTCTCTCTCTAGACCAGTTTATAGGAATCTGTGAAGTTATGAGCCATCCTGTAATTTTTTTCATCTTACTCAGATTGTTAAGAGCCCCAGTGCTTGGATGTTGGCTATAAAATAGTTCTCTAATTCATCTCATATCTAACTGTATTCTAAAGACAGGCTATAGGTAACCCAGACGTTTTAGATTAGAATACAGTATTTTGCCTCACTTGTCCTGATGAAAATTAAAGTTCAAAACAACTTCTGCTTATATTATTCAAAAGTCACTGAAAAAGCCCATGTTATTCATAGTGATCTATTTTCTTACCTAATTTCTCCAAATAAAATAAGATAAAATTTAGGAAAGTTGTGGCTGCTTCAGCTGCCAGACGTGAACTCTCATTTTCAACGTTCCATTCTGTGACAGTTTCCCAGCCACTCTTGCAACTTCTCAGTCTCTGCCCCACCTGGCAGCAGCACTAGGGAAGGAAAGGGACCTCCATGCATTCCCTTCTGCCCTCATGTCTCTATGTGCAGCTCTTGTGCACCCTCATGCATCTTTTCCAACCCATGCTATTCCCCAGGTGTAGTCCCTGACTTACATGGCACCTCTCGTGTACTCACATGCACTTTTCGTGACCCACACTGCCCCCCTCGCATGCCCAACCCCACCTGAATTGTACCTCTCATGCACCTCTGCTTATTTCCTGACTCATGTCATCCCCCCATGTACCCGAACCAACCCACCTGGAATCTCTTGTGCACACTTGTATATCTTTCCTGACGCACGTGGCACCTCTCATGCACTCCCATATATTCTTCCTCTTAACTTGCACATCCACACACATCCTCATTTCCTTCTCCACCCGACAGCAACCACCTACCTGCCTGGCAGGCTTGGACTTCAATTTCCTGCTGGCTGATTTTCTCCCGGCAAGCATTCTGTAAGCAAAGTAACTGGGGAACCCAGCAGGAATTCTAGAGAGAAGGAAGGAATTTTCAGAGTTGCAAGATTCTATTAATGTAGCTTTACAATAAAGTAAAATTAGCTCATCTGATTGTATTTCCTGTCTGGTCTACTTGGTAAGGCTGACCTTAGTCTTGCATGTCTGAAAGCACAATTCTCCCATCATTTCATTTACAGTCCAAGATACTAGGGTAGATCCCTTCAGAGCCTCTTAACCGGGGGTGGGGGCTATGTTGTCTCTTATGCAACCATTCTCTAGTCCAGGCAACATCACTCTGCCTCAGATCCCAGGTTCTTTCCCGGATACTATTACAGCACCTGTCTAACTGTAAAATAATTACTTATTATATAATAACCTTTCTTTTTTATAGACAACTAAAACTCATGCAGATTTGACTATATTTGATCGGACGTTGCTAACTACATTGTGCTTGAACAGGTAAAAACCTTTGTTAGATTTTTAATCCATTGTATTCCCAAAACTGCTTAAATTGATTAATCTAGTATTTAAAAGTTTGGCAGCTTAAAATCAACATAAAATATAAAAAGGACATGCTGAAATGGTCTTATGGAACTGAATTTATTTAATGGAGAGCATCATGTGGAGGAAGACTAATCTAAGATATAAATGTAGTAAAGAAACTTTTGCAATATAAAGGGAGTATTATGGCCAATGCATATTTTACATCCTCTTTCATATTGAATCATGAAGAATTATTTTAACTCTTATCAAAGAAAATGCACATGAGATTAGTCTTGATTGCTTAGAAAGGAGCTCAAAACTGAATGATTGGATATGACTGTATGGTTGTATTGATGGGAAATATTACATACAAAAAATCATTATTAAACCACTGGAGTAATTGTGATAGTGCATATTACAATTGTGAATTTAACAGTAATATACAATTAAAATTTACCATATATGAAAAATAATGGTTTACATCCTGTACAAGGCTGAACTTTTGTCAGTTACACCCAGTTTAAGATAGACAGAAAGAAATCTCCCCCATTTCACTATTCCACTGCAAATCCTTAAAAAAAAAAACAGTTCTTGTCGCTTGGGCTCAGAAGGGAAACTTGGCAAAACTGTTGTTAATTTTAGCCAGTTAAAAACGTGGGAGTAAGGACCTCCCTGTTTGAAAAAAATGGGGAAAAAGGCCAATATGCTATCCTTCCTCTGCTGAATCTATTTTAAAAAGTCTAGGATTTCAACAGGTTACGAGGGAGGGAGGGAGGGAGGGAGGGAGGGAGGGAGGGAGGGAGGGAGAAAGAGAAGGAAGGAAGGAAGGAAGGAAGGAAGGAAGGAAGGAAGGAAGGAAGGAAGGAAGGAAGGAAGGAAGGAAGGAAGGAAGGGAGAAAGGAAGGTTACAAACATGGGGTGAGCTTGCCTTACCAGCAGCCTAGGGGTGGGCTAAGGGTGATATCAACTCTGCCTGCTGTCCTGAAAAAATGGGTGGGTTGTCCTTGCACTTGGGCAAACAAGAAGTGTGTATTGCCCCAGTGTGGCTGGTTAAGGTCATTGAGAAAAAACTGAACCCCAATTTTTCAGATTCAAGACCAACAACTCATCAGCAATGCCACACTGATATTACTATCTTTGGTCATATACAGTAATCTCTGTATTATGTTTTCTTTCAGTTTCCACATCTCCTTGGCTCATTCCAATGTTGGCCTCTTTGAGGTAAATTTCAGCCTCTAGGAAAAATAAGCAGGTGCAACTTGTAGCAGATAGAACTGAATTGCTTACGAAGTATATTCCTTTACCTTTTAAATTTTCTTCATAGAACTATTAAATTCTATAAAATATGCTGTCCTGATGATTGATCCCATTATTTTTTTTCCTTTCCTTTAATTTTAACTTTCTTTCCAATAATATTTCAGTACCATTGCCCCCTTCCTGTATCGTTTTCTTGGGAACTATTTCACTATATAATGTTTTTCATCTAAAAAATGAAAAAGGAATTTGTGAGACAAAGAATTGGTGGGAATTCTACCACTCAGTTACCATTCTTAGATTTTGTATTTCAGTGGCCCCCAACCTTTTGGGCACCAGGAACTAGTTGCAGGGAGAGAGGTTTTTCCATGGACTGGAGGGGCCATGGTTTCATGTTCTGCCTGCATCCTGCAGATGTAGCTTTGCTTGTTTGATGGCCCAGTTGCTGGCATGCCACGTACCAGTGCAAGTCCACAGCCTGGGGGTTGGGGACCCCTGTTGTATTTAATATCTGTTCACAATTTTCCATTTTCTATCTTTCTACAGGTATTTAGTGTTGTTGTATTATTATTGAGCATATTCACTCTTCACTGAACTGTTTGGGACATCCTCCACCTTTAGGATCCCTCTGACAGAGACACATACATACACAGACACACAGAGACAGATACACACAGAGACATTGTATACAGTTCTTGAGATTCAGCATGCTTCAGACTGGGAATTTGAATTCTCTTCTATAAGAAGTTGAAGCTTCATTTTCAATATAGTTTCTTTCAGTAATGTGCATATTATTGCAACAAATAGTAGAACCAAATTTATGATAAATATTATATAAAATATTTATATAAATATATAAAATATGCAAATAAACAATATATAGGATTTAGAGAAGGGCTGTAGAAAAGCAAATAATTTGCAAACTAAATAATTAAAAATTATTAGGGAACTAAGAAAGTTGTCCTCTGTATGAAACATCAGGTCACTTTGCTTGTGAAATATATTATCCATTGCACCAATTCAGTGAGAAGCAGCATTTAAGAATTTCTCCCTGAGGACAGTCAATCATGATAGTGATGGAAATAAAAGGGGTGGCAGGCAATCCCTTCAATGCAAGAAAACATCCTCACATATGTAGATTTATTTGAATGTGAACTTAATCTGGCACTGAGATAAACAGAAGGAAAAACCAAGATTTGCAGAGATGGCAAAAAAAGCCAACTATTTTGAAAGTTTGGAAAATGATTTGCCCTCACACTGTATGCTGACAATCAGGGCCACATATTATTCTAGATACCGTACATAGAAAATTCAGCATCTGTTGGATCTCAATCTAGGAATTGGCTTTTTAGTTTTGTTTATTGCTCCTTTGATTATAAACTTCTTGAGATGTTGGATTCACAGAAATTCTAAAAGATCCAATACAAAAACAACATCCTGCTTAAACACAGACACTGAAGCAAAGTCAATCTTCATTTTGCATTGCAGGCTTCACTTTTGGATAATTTCCTGTCTTACATTTTACGAACTGGAATAATTCCAGCAGCCAATTGTAAGCATAGCTTCATCTTTCTTTCGCTCAATTTCTCTTTCTTTAATGACTTTTGTTTCTAAGCCAGCTTCAAATATACTAAAGACTTGTAAACAGTCCTGTAAGTTCCAGCCAGCATGGCCATAAATAAAGTTAAATAAAGTGGAGAGGCTAATAAAGAACTTCTAAAACTGGTGGTTAAAATGTATCAGTTGCATAGCTTAGATTTTTATTCCTGCTTAATAGTTAATCAGATTTATATCCATTCATGTGATCAGTATTATACTATCTATCACTACTATTGTCCATGCTGTATTCACAACCAAAGTCAGTGGAAATATAGTATAACAGTTGCAAAAAAATGTGTATTTCAGTGCCTCCCTTTTCTATCTTTAAAGTGAGATATAAACTTCTTTAAGAAATTATAAACTACTTTCTGCTGAATAAAAAATAAAATGAATGTTAAAATGTTCATATCTGAACAATAATATACAACAGTGCTGGCGAACTATGGCATGGGGGCCAGAGGCGGCACTCAGAGCCCTCTCTGTGGGCAAGTGCGCTGTCGACCCAGTCTTAGGCCTTCAGCTGGGTTTTATAAAACCTTTTAGCTTTAGGCCTCGGCCGTCATGTGCAAAAAAAAAAAGGTTCAATCAATCAATTTCAACTTCTCGCGGGAAAAAAAAGATCTTGCAAAGTTGGAATTGATTGATTGAACTTTTTAGTCCCACCCAGTCTGCCATTACCAACGCAGCCATGCCCAGCCAATGGGCTACATCCAGCCAACGGGCCATACCCACCCGGCACTCGATGATGCATAAGTGGGTTTTGGGTTGCAGTTTGGGCACTCAGGCTCTAAAAGGTTCACCATCACTGATATACAACATATTCAGCTTTTAGATTAAAGAATGTGTTTGCAAAATCTATTCTAGTCATAGTTACTCTAAATCCTTTTCTTTCTCTCTTTTTTCCTGTTTTGTTAAGTTGAACTAAAGGATGGATTTCCTCTGCCTGTCTTGGACACAATGATTCTTATAAAGCCCAATATTAGAATTTATGAGGTAAGATTTCGTAATGTCTGTTCTTAGTTGATTAGGATGCTGTGTTTCTATTTGTTAGAAAATTATCATGTGCTTCCAATACAGTGAGTCATTCTGTGAAGAAGATAGGTGGTCTCCAAATTTGAGAGAGAGAGAGAGAGAGAGAGAGAGAGAGAGAGAGAGAGAGATAGTTTTCAGTATCTCCTATTCAGACCCCCTTTATAATCGAACGTACATGTGACACATATCCACAAATATTTGTTTCTGTAACTACAATATTTATATTATTTATTAAACAAATGTATATAGCCACCCAACGCATACACAGTGACTCCATAATACAATGACATGACAGTTTTATTTCTTTTTTTGTCAATCATAAGCTACTTATTTCTAGAGTTCAATTCACAAAATAGCTGAAGTGAAATTTCTAATAATCAAGCTGTTATAAACCTGCAATAAAATATGTTTTTGTATATGTTCTTAGGGTTTCTTGCTGATTTCCACTGATATTCAAAGCCTACAATAATGAGGAAGACTTTGATCTCCAAGCAAACACTGACTATTTTTTTTACTATAGATGCATAAAATGCATAAGAGCCAAAAGGCATTTGTGGGTGAGCAAATAGGTGAATGAAATTTTTAATAGTTCAACCAGAAGTTCCAAAATGCATAACACATTGGTTTAAGATAGCAACAAACTGAAGCTGAAAATGTTGGTCCAACAACTATATATTGGGAGTGGATAATGAATTTCCCCAGTGCCAAAAATGGAGCTGCTCAGCTTCGGAGGCAAAATCTGTGGATTTGACCAGTGTGGTTTTAGCCGAGAGATGGAGTGGTATTAAGCGCATAGATAGTAGTGTCCTGCTTCTAAGTATATCTTAACCTCCCCAATTTCCCTCCTCAGGCCTTTCAGGGACATAACAGTATCACTTGATAGCCTCTTGTGACCATGTGGAAGGTCAAGAAGCTGAGTTGTAATTCCCAGTCCTACTCCTATGTATTGCCTATCCCTGTTATATATGGCCAAAAGATTTATAATTCTAGTATATTATATGAAATTACAATTTAATTAGGAAAGTTGAAGAATTTGAGAGTTTTGCACTGCTATTAGAAACTTTGTATTAGAAATACCAGTATTTATTCATGTTTCATCCTTCCTGAATTGGAGAAGATCATGTAAGCATATGTAGTATTTTATTAAATTTGCTATCTGGGTTCAAACAAGCCATAGTTTTTTAAATATGGTCACAACACACAAGATTAAAAAGAAACCACATTATAATTTTGCATGATCAGTGAATCTAATTTCTGTGTAAGAGAAATCTTTAATAACAGTGACTATACAGCTATCAGACCTGGCTGCAAAAATTTAGGTGTCAGCAAAGAGATACACAACTTTTTCTTTTCTTTTTTTTTTTTTTAGTCAAATCTAGAAGCTAGAGCAAACCTCAAATCTGAGATTTTTGAGGCTAGAAACAGGAAGACTCTGAGTTCTAATCACACTTTAGGCAAGAAAGCTGACTGGATGACTTTGTGCCAGTCACACTCTCAGCCCAACTCACCTCACAGAGTTGTTGTTGTGTGGAAAAGAGGAGGAAAAATTATTAGGTGTGTTCACTGCCTTAAGTTATTTATAAAAATATAAAAATAATATAGGCGGGATAAAAATATGTAAAAAAAATTATTATAACCCATTTGGAGATTTGACAACCATTACATATAATATTAGACCTGGTTCAAAAACGGATTCTGTAATAGAGTCTACACTGGAATCCTCTAGATCCCCTGGATATGATTCCCATAATTCCAAGTGAGTGCAATCTAGCTGGCTGTGGATTATGGGACAAAAATGGACTACTACAAACCTAAATAAGTGGCTTCAATTGTCTGCACTGTCTATTTGGGATAAAACAATATATAACTGCAGAATGAATTTTGCTACTTATTTTTTCACTTACACTATGAATGGATTCATGCAATTTAGTTTGTTTGGTTCTGGCTTACAATGCTACATCTAATTATTGTTGCATGTGTTGTATAAATCAACCTAACTGTAACTTATTGAATAAGCCATGGTTAAACAAATAATGGTTTAGCCCAATGTGTCCAACTTATATAGGAAAAAAAACATTTCTCTAATTACTATTTTCATCATCATATTATTACTTCAATATTACAGATCTTGCCCAACTAAAAATTATTACATAAAAATAGACAACACTTTGCATATAAGACTCCTCATTCTTTGAAGAGCCACTGAACTTTCACAAAGATTCTGTCAATTCAATGTCAATTTTTCCTGGCAAGTCTTATTGTATTCAGTGAACACTGTAATACAGGTAGTCCTTATTTATTTATTTATTTATTTGTGAGACTTATATACCGCTTTAAATGCAAGCACTCTCTAAGCAGTGTACACCAGTAAGCAATGTATATATATATTTACATTGCCCCCAACAATCTGGGTCCTCATTTTACCTACCTCGGAAGGATGGAAGGCTGAGTCAACCTTAAGCCGGTGAGATTTGAACCGCTGACCTGCTGAACACAGTCAGCTAAAGTGGCCTGCAGTACTGCACTCTAACTACTGTGCCACCTCGGCTCATAAGTTGTAAGTCCTTGACTTACAACTTAGCAACCAAAGTTACAACCTACCTGAAAAAGGGGACTTACAATCCAGATCTGAAGTTCTGAAAATCGCCCTCTTAATTCATGAGGCCATACTTTGGGAACTTGGCAAGACAGCCATTTTTATATCCATTTGCAGTGTCTGGTAGTCACATGATTGGATTTTTATGACAGTGTTGCTGAAAACCAGTTCTCACTTCCAGTTTTCAGCAAAACTGTGCCATAGTGAACAATGGGTTCACTGCTTAATGACTGCTGAAAGGCAGTAATGTTCATTTAATAACCATCATAAAAATGTAAAATTGGATTGGTCATGTCTTACATGTAGCCTTTGGTAATGATATTCACCAAATGAGCAGAGAATTCTGGTTTTAAATTTGGGAGCTGCAATTTCAGATCAGCACCTCTATCCTGTCTTCCTTCATATGGATTCACACCAACATACAGAAGAGTCAAGATGGACTGTCATGACCAGATGTGGACCAGAAACAGAACAGCCTAACATCAGCAAAGATTCTACTGCATATCTTCAAAATATGCCTTGGAATTAACGCACAAACTTAATTATATGATTTAGTAAAACTGCTTAGTTTCTCTTGTTTTTCTTGAATTATGGCATGAAAATGGACACTTTATCTTAAGGAAAAGAGGACATGTTCCTTTAAAAAAAAATCCCAAAAATTGAGCCAACTTTATCATGAAATAGTGATTTGTATTGCAGACCCAAACCACTCTTTAATTTTCAAATATCAAAGGAGAGCTAATGCGGGTATCTCATGTTTTCATTCACATTCACCCCAATATTTGGGAATGATAAGAGGTGTAGTCTAGGGGGTATAAGAACACAGGCAAGCCACATCTTCTAAAATAGTTCCCACTGCTGGACCTATGAGCATCAACCAAAAAATCCTTGATTCTGAGGTGCTCCTTTATTTTGATAGAATTAATTACCACAAATTCAGCAAATATCTTACTGGCTGATATTTATCCCCTATTAAAAATATTCAGTTTGTACTACATTGCAGCAAAAACCTGGAGCATCATGGCACTTTAAAGACTAATAAATGTTTGACTTCCAGTTCCGGTTCACGGTGTCACTAGTTGCACGGGGAGACTTCTCTCCTTGTCGGCTAGATTTCCCTCCGTCGGTGGACCCTTAGACGTGTCCAAAGTCGCCCTGAAGGTGCGACTTCCGTTGAGGAGGCTGCTGTCTGGCTGAGGAGGAGGAGCGGCTCCTCCAGCTGTCCGGATGATCTCCGAGGGCCGACGGAGAAGAAAGATCGGCCAGTAAAATGGCCGATTGCCCTGCCGCTTCAGACCATAAGTCAGACAACATCTAAACTCTGAGTGCCCCCGTGGTGAATCTGGGTGAAAATTTTTCTTGTAACACTCTCTTTTCTACTTTTTTATGTTTGTGTATCTGTAAGAGCTTTTGGAATTATTTCCCTGGCTTGGAAAGGTGGCTTTTGCTTTTTTGTGGGGAAGAAAGGCGTTTTATAAATACTAAAAGACTATTTTTTACTTTTATTTGGATACTAAAAAGGAAAAAAGACGGATGATGAGGCACGACCACAAATCAGAAGCCAGACCACAGTTGCATCATTAGCCACTTTAAACCCCTCCAATCCATACATGAAGCAAACTGACACCCACCATGAAGATGAGGCACAACCACGAACGCGAAGTCAAAAAAATAGCAAGGCAGCCCACCATCTTAAATCCCCCTGCAACTCAGACTAACCTGAGCACAACAAAGCCCCCACCCAAACAGAACACTCCCCCATCCAATCAGAGCACAGCCAACCCCCCATCCAATCAGAGCACAGCCAAACCCCTAACCAATCAGAACACACCTCCACCCAATCAGAACACAGCTAAGCTCCTACCCAATCAGTTCATACCCCCACTGGCAGTTAAAAGGAAGAAACAGCTAAGACCACACATTGCTCCTCGAAGCACGAAGCTGAAAATATCAGCCTGAAGATGACGAATGGGACTTCATCGAAACATCACCAAGACACTTCCAATTTTACGCGGGAGAAAACCCGAATAACCATATATCTGGAATTGAAAAAATGCTTAGTTATGAGAATGGATTTTTGAAGTGCATAAATTGATTGGGTGATTTTTGTGTATAATAATATGATCTGATAAGGTATGATAATTAATTGGATGGAATTTGAAGTTTGTGTAATGAATTGAAAGGAATTAAGGTTTAACATTATTATTATTTTTAAATTAAGATAGTTATCATCGGAAGAAGAAATGAATGAGATTGGTGATAAAAAGAGGGTTGAGAGAGATTAAGATCTTCAATATATCTGGTAGAGATATTTGAAGTAATAATTTGTTGATGTAAAACAATATTTGATTAGGGCAGTGGTTCTAATTTGGGGTCGAACGACCATTTCCCGGGGGTCGCCAAACAACGCTGTCCGCCATTTTTCCCTCCTTTTCCTTAGCTGTGCTACTCCCTTTTATTCTATTGGCTTTTGAAAACCAATAGAATAGAGTCTAATTTTATTGGCTTTCAAAAGCCAATAGGAATTGTCCAGGCTGTCTCTGCCCTGCTGAGCCCACCAAAAGTCCCATTCTGCAAACGGTGCTGCACCAGTTGAGTAGTCCTCGATTTACGACCAGTTGGGGGTCACGGCATTAAAAAGGTTGAGAACAACTGGATTAGGGTAATTCTAAATTAATAAAGTTTTAAAACAGGTTGAATAGTAATAGAAATTTAAGCTAGAAATGGAATATATTAAATTTATTATGTTATCTGTGAGAAATAGAGAGAGGATAGTAAATGTATTAAGTTGAGCTGTTTATGTATGTTTTTTTACTTTGGAATGTTTGTGTACCCAAATACCACGGTGTGTCTTAAGTACTTTTTGTTAAAATTAAAAAATATATTTTAAAAAAAACTAATAAATGTTTTATATGAATTCCTGGATTACAGTAGTCTCTTTTATCATGTTTATATATTCCATGAAATCTTATATGGTTAAATGCCATTCTCCAGCAACTAATGTGTATCTCTAGATCAGTGGTTCTCAACCTATGGGTCACGACCCCATTTGGGGTCAATCGCCCATTTTTCGGGGGTCGCCAAAGGGGGTGATCTGCCATTTTCTCCCCTGGGGGGGCAGCGCCACGCATGCTACTGTGTGTGGGGCCGCCCCCATGCGTGCCACGCATGCGCATGTTTGTGTGACGGGGTCGCCGTCACACAAACGTTGAGAACCGCTGCTCTAGATAGCCATCTCTTAGTGAAAGTACGCATAGAATCGTGGTTTGGCTGTTTCTCCTTACTCGAAAGTGTATTCCCCCATTTGACTCTTGTGAGCGTGTCCGCCTTTGTTCCATTTGATATGAGACAGCACGCAAAAACACCAACTTTTAGCTGTTTCTAAAGAGAGCGAGAGAGGCAGAAAAGAGGAATCTTAGCTGACTCCTGTTTCAAAACTAGTTTCAAAACTACAAACGACCGCTACACGTAAGCGAAGACTCAGTATCCCTTTATTTCCGTCCAACAGTCGTCCAAATTTTTGCAGCGTTGCTCCAATAATCCTAAATTGAGCCTTTTCGGCTTCCGTAGTAGCTCCTCTCGGTCTGATAGAGAATTGGGGCGGAGCCATCTCGGCTTCCGTACTGGCGTAAGTGGACGTGGCCGCCCCTTGCCGGGAAACACCTGAGAAAAACGTTCTTCTGTTAGTTACTTCGGAGCGTTTGCTGTGATTTTCGCCATGAGCCGAAACTACAACGATGAATTGCAATATTTGGATAAACTGGATAAGAACTGCTGGCGCATCAAGAAAGGATTTGTGCCCAACATGAACGTGAGTTGATTAGAGGCGAAGGGGCGAGCAATGAATTCTTGCTGTTTTCATCGCTAGACTTCGTTCTGGAGCATGATAATAGCTAAAAGCTCCCCCGAGTGCCTTTCATTCCTTTGGGCGATCATTCTGTCAGTGCGACGAAGAGAAAATGTCGAGGGTTCACTTGCTTGGTTCTGCTCAGTTTTTAACCTACTGCAGTGCCTACGATTGCATTTTATCATTTTGTATAATTGTCAAATGATATTGGCTCAAATGATGAAAAGTTAGTTATAAATAATGCATCTAAAATTGGCAGTTTCTTGGTGGGGAAAAATTTGATCTGTAAGTGTAGCTAATCAGAGTACCAATTGTGATATTGATAATTCATCTTACAAGTGGACTATTTATTTCGTTCAAACTATTGGTTATTTAGGAAGCTACCTCTAAGCCAGAGGTCTCTAACCTCTTTGGCAACAGGGACAGGTTTTGTGGAAGACAGTTTTTCCACAGACTTGGAGGGGGGGGGGAATGGTTCACGTGGAACATAGATCCCATACATGAGCAGACAAAGCTTTGCTTGCTTGCCTGCTGCTTGTGTGGCCCGGTTCCCAACAGGCCATGGACAAATACTGCTCCACGGCCCAGAGTTTGGGGACTCCTGCTTTAAACTATTTACAACAAATCTACATCTTTACTGGAAGAATATATTTTTAAAATAACTCTAATTATGGAAGCATTCTAGTTTTCATGATACAGTTACTTAAAATTATTTGTTTGAATGGTGCATCCTACCTTTGAATATGTGGTCCTTTTTTCTAATTTTCTTCTTTTTGTCTCTAGGTGGAGGGTGTGTTTTATGTGAATGATTCATTGGAGAAGTTGATGTTTGAAGAACTAAGAAATGCATGCCGAGGTGGAGGTATGTATGAGCTTTCAATTGTCTGTTTGAATCTCCTTGTTTCCTAATGCCTCCAATATTTTTCTCCTTTAAATCTGTCACATATTCAACAAATATATCTAGAAGTCCAATACAGCTTCTTCTATGTTTAGTTATCATAAATATGTTGTGGTTAATAGGCTGCTTGGATAAAGACATTTTTAAAAAGGTCTTGATTTATGAAGATTTGTTGGTTGGGCATGAGAAAATAACCATTTGCTCTTTAGTTCTGCTTGCTTAAATGTAAAGACATGTACCCTTTAAATTCCAATTTTGAATATATATGTTTTATACCCAATTTATCTCATGTTTCACAATATTTTCATTTTCTATAGGCCTAGCACAGGGGTATCAAACTCGCAACATCACATGACGTGTTGCAATGTATCGTGACTTTTTTGCCATTGCCAATAATGGAGTGGGTGCGGTTTCACTATGATGCATTCGGCCTGCAGGCCTAGCATATGAAATATGCAAGTGGTTATAGTTATAGTCCTCTACATGCTTATCTAGGAATAAGCCTTATTTAATTCCATCATTTGTTCTTCTGAGTAAATGTTAAGAGAATAGCACTGTTCTTTATCCTTAAAATGTTAATTCTGAGTTACATGTTCATAGGAAATAGGAAATTAATTTCTACCTTTTTTTAAGGTGCTGGTGGCTTTCTTCCAGCCATGAAACAAATTGGAAATGTAGCTGCATTACCTGGTATTGTTCATGTGAGTCCTTGTTATTTTAAATCCAGAATAAAATCATTATAGGAGGACTTTGGTATGGATTCTTCTATGTAGTAAAGTGTTAGAAGAGTAGTAGAACTATTGCGTAAAATAGAAATAAGAATGCTTTCCAATAGAAAAGAATATGTATAGCTCAGAGTTGAACTGTAAAGCCCTTAGAGCAGCGGTTCTCAACCTGTGGGTCGCGACCCCATTTGGGGTCGAACGACCATTTCACGGGAGTCGCCAAACAACGCGATCCACCATTTTTTTCGTCAGCTGGCGCTGGGGGCGGCGGCGTGCATGCGCAGCGTGCAGGGGCGGCACATGGGGGCAGCGCCGCGCATGCGCGCCACACGGGGGTGCCGCCGCGCATGCGTGCCACGCGGGGGCCCACCGCGCATGCGCGCCATGCAGGGCCGCCGCCGCGCATGCGTGCCATGCAGGGGGCGCCGCCACGCATGCGTGCCACCTGCTTATGACCGTGGTCGCCGTATAAAAAGGTTGAGAACAACTGCCTTAGAGCTTCTGAAATTTGTGATTTGCTTGCAGATATTTTCTTACTCAAGTAGGTACCATTATCAGTGCAAGGATGGATGATGCTACCTAGTTGGTTAGTGAAACATCTACAAACAAACAACCAAGTTCAGAATTACAAGAACTTCGCAATAAGAATACTGTCAGACTTTCTTATCCTAACAATTTCTTAAAGTAAATTCAGATATTCATGGATATGATGGAAGTAGAGTATTTGCCGTTAATTTTTGAAATGAAATGATTTCTTTATTTTCAGTTGTCATTTTGAGTATGGTACACCCCTTGATATAAATGTTGCAATCTCTGCTTTTGGATGCTTTGCAATGGGAATATGACTGGGCTAGGATTACTTCATAGCATAGGAATATCATTCATAATTGTTATATTGATTGCCTTTCTTTTCTTTACAAAAATTGTATTTCAGCGATCTATTGGACTTCCTGATGTTCATTCAGGGTATGGCTTTGCTATTGGCAATATGGCAGCCTTTGATATGAATGACCCAGAAGCAGTAGTTTCACCAGGTATAGACAGCTATAGTTATTATTTGTGTGGAAAGAGAACTCTTAGGTACCTCTAAATACGTTTTAAATGTGTCAGGCTCCAATTCAGACAATTGTACAGAGATATTGTTAACCATTCTATGTAAGTAACAGTTGACTGGTGATATGTTCTGTAGTATGTTATATTTTCGACTGTAAGGAGGTTTTTAGTTCTAAGGCCAAAAAGACTTAATTATCCAAAGAATTTATAGTACTGATGCCATAGTTTTAATCTGGACTGATTTGAAGAAACAGGTGGATATTTTTCCAGTATATGTATGCTGGCCAAAGCAAAATGCTCTCATTGACCTTTTGAGGACAGTGTCTATATTAGATTTATCTTAAAGTAACAAGTGCTTGTACTGCAAAATTCAATGTTAAGCTGAAATAACTTTAACGAAGTGTGATGGAGGATAAATAAATGGATGATCTATGATAAAGTATAACATTTCACTATGTTTACCCTTGAACTAGTGCAGAATAGTTCTGTTCTTTCCATATAATACAAATATATTTCTTTATCAGAATATCTAGCTATATAAGGTTTACTGAATATAATTATAGCTGCGACAAAAATTGATTGCAGTGATGATTGCAGTGATGAGTTCTGAGTTTTTAAGTTCATATTCTGATAATTGAGTATTTTGAGTTCATAATATTAGCAATTGCATAAAATGACTTGTTGAGCTGAATTTTAAAAGGTATGTTCTGATTACTCATACAGGAGGTGTAGGGTTTGACATTAACTGTGGTGTTAGATTATTGCGGACCAACCTTGATGAGTGTGATGTCCAGCCAGTGAAGGAGCAGCTTGCACAATCCATGTTTGACCACATTCCTGTAGGGGTGGGATCCAAGGGTGTCATCCCCATGAATGCCAAGTAAGAACTAATTTTTTATTTTCTCAAATGTCTGTATTTTTGCTTCATTTCTGAAGAAGGCAGAAAGAAAATGAAATGTAACATCACATGCATTGCAAATCTGTTGAGTTGCAAACAAGTAAAAATGTCAGAATATTGTACAATTTTTGATACAGAGCTGTTTGAAAGCTTTGCATAGGTTAGTCATCGTATATCTAGAGGACTTTTATTTCCAGAATTCCATTCTGATTGGGAATTGTGGCAGTTTATGTCCATGCATCTGGAGGGCATCCAGATAGGTAAAAGTTATCTTAGTGTAAACTCACTTGTAATTTGGTAGTAATAGTTGCTAAGAGGCTCTATGTTTTAACCAACCACTCATACTGACAATTGTACTTATTTAAGAACCATGTTTCTTAGTCCTCAAATATTTTGGGGTATCAAGAAAAGATTTGGGATTATCACAATTGCCACAATATATTTATCTGTCTTCTTAATTGTCAGAGTAACTCCGTAGTATGCATGCAATGGTCAGCTGGTTCAGACATCTCTGAACGAACTCTCATAGGATGTCAGATCTACCATCTTCAGCTTCTACACTTTGCTGGCATCCTGCCATAAAATGCAAGGAGGGAGGGAGAGAAAAGACATGGGAATGTGGAGACAAACGATGGGAGGGGGAGACAGCCTTGATAGAAACCAGAGGTGCCAAGCCAAAGTAAACCAGTCACCAAGAACACCTGGTCTGGGAACAGAATGTGCAACTGCATCAAGTGTCGCCAAACAACCAAGTGGTTCCCAAAATATCTAAACGGCATGCTATTGGACACTGATAGACTGGTCAAAGGGGAGAGGGCCATGCAAAGAGAAAAAGTAACCTTTGCATGGGACTATTCAGATCTACCCTTACTTTCGCTACAACCACTTAACTTTAGTAAAAGAATCTATCACTTCAACCAAATGGAGTCGAGGGTCTTTCTTTCCTAAAGATCTGTGTTTGGGCAGACCTGACATAGGTAAACATCAGGGAAACTTTTTTATAGGTGGGGATTGGAACCAATTAGAACAGCCTAGTCTAATGCCACCAAAACATGCCATCATGTTTAAATTGAGACATCCCTGTTGTTTTATCTTGATGTATCATCAGTACGCGGATGATACCCAATTATATATCTCCACCCCTTGTCCTTTCAGTGAAGCAGTCGATGTGATGTGCCGGTGCCTGGAAGATGTGAGGGTCTGGATGGGGGTGAACAGGCTTAGACTCAACCCTGACAAGACCGAGTGGCTCTGGGTCTTGCCTCCCAAAGGCCAACTGGATGGTCCATCTTTAGTCCTGGGGGGGGCAAATTTACCTCCCTCAGTGCAGGCACGCAACTTGGGTGTCCTCCTGGACTCACAGCTAAATTTGGAACAACATCTATCTGCTGTGGCCAGGGGGACCTTTGCACAGGTTCGCCTAGTGCACCAGTTGCGGCCTTATTTGGACCGGGAGGCTTTACTCACAGTCACTCATGCCCTTGTCACCTCAAGACTGGATTACTGTAACGCGCTCTACATGGGGCTACCCTTGAAGGGCGTTCGGAGGCTGCAGTTGGTTCAGAACGCAGCCGCGAGAGCGATTGTGGGCGCGCCAAGGTACGCCCACGTGTCACCTATCCTCCGCGAGCTGCACTGGCTTCCTGTGGGTCTCCGGACGCAATTCAAGGTGTTGGTTATCACCTTTAAAGCCCTTCATGGCATAGGGCCAGGTTACTTACAGGACCGCATTCTGCCGCACAGTTCCCAGAGACCGGTGAGGTCCCATAGATTGGGCCTCCTTCAGGTCCCGTCGGCCAGACAATGTCGGCTGGCGGGCCCTCTGGGAAGGGCCTTTTCTGTGGTGGCTCCGACCTGGTGGAATCAACTTCCCCCCGAGGTTCGAACTACTCCCACCCTGCCGGCCTTTAAGAAAGCCATTAAAACTCTCCTGTTCCGGCAGGCCTGGGGCTGATGTCCCCGGGGGGGGCAGGATATGATCGGACTCGCGGTATGACTGTATTATTTTATTGTTTTATGATTGTTTTAACTCTGTACGCCGCCCTGAGTCCTTTGGGATTGGGCGGCATATAAATAAAATTAAGTACAAATACAATACAAATGTTCATTATTTTCTCCTATGCTGGCCAAATCTTTAAACATTTGCTGCATTGAAGTTCTTTTGCCTCTATAAGGTGAGGAGAAAGGAAACTTTCCAACCTATCTAGCTTTATTTTATTTTGTTTGCAGTGTGAGAACAATAACTGGGTTTAATCACTGTTTTCTTTATAGAGGAAAAGGAAAATGAACCTCACTTATTTGAAAGAGCATTTTATATAGTTGTCTATGTTCTAAGTGCAAATATTTGCTAATGAATGCTTGATTTAAAAGATTTGCATGGGCACCCACCTTACAGAACACAATTCTGGGTGGGTCACAATGATAAAACAAAAACAAAAAACAGAACATTAAGCACTTAATCCATCATATCAGTGCTTCAAACTATGCATCCTCAGGCTCCAACTTTACCCCATCCCAGAGTCTGGGAGAAAACTCAGCCCTTTTCAACTTTCAGGAAAGTTAAAAGTTGGGGATGGGGAGCTGCCAGATCCCAAGGGAAAGGTTCTTCCACAGGGCAGGATTTTCTATGGAAAAGGGACACTTTCTACTTCCCACTAGATGACAACACTTGAGCAATGCAGCAACGGAACTTGGAAAGTATTTATACTCGGAATGATCTGATAATTGTGAACTAAGATGTAGGAATGAATCTGTGCTAACTTTCATTCTGTAATTGTCTGTGGTCTCCTAATTGGAGTGTCTTTCATACCCAGGGACCTGGAGGAAGCTTTAGAGATGGGAGTAGACTGGTCCTTACGAGAGGGCTATGCCTGGGCTGAGGATAAAGAGCATTGTGAAGAATATGGGAGGATGTTGCAGGCAGATCCAAATAAAGTGTCAGCAAGAGCTAAGAAAAGAGGTTTACCTCAGGTAATCAGACTGTAGATATAATTTTGGATGGTCATTTAATGCTGATTTTAATTTAATGAATTTTAATTTAATTTTAATTTAATCAGGTTGATTTTAATAGCATTATAGGACATCAGAACAATGATCAGAGATTTGATTAGCTGATGTCATGGTTACAAAAGGTTACCCATTCACTTTTGGTTTTCATGTGTCATACTCTGGGTGACTCACTCAATAAGTTTCCATGGCTGAGTGTGGAATTAGACTTGGCTCTCTGCGGCTGTAGTCTAGCAGTCTGTAACTATAGCACCACACTGGTTCTTGCATTGATTAATGAGGACTTCACTTTGTTGTAATGAAATTTCACCTTTTGATTGATTAGCCTTAAATATTATCTTTTATATATGTTTGATTTGGTGATTCAGTATTATTGATTTTTCAATTTACATCTTATCTAATGTTTTGATTTTAGTCTAATATTTTTTAGGAAACATACAGTTTAAAAGAAGCTTAACAGTTCAGAAAATAAAGAGAATCTTTTCCCTTAACATCTGGAATGTGGAAAAACTCAGTGTCCATCAGTAAGACTAATGGATGTTAAATTGCATTAATTTTCCAGGGTTTCTAGTAAAAATCACAAATATTTCATTTTTCATGTTGGGAAAAGCTAAGTTCTCCTCTTCGGTTTAACAGCTGGGGACTTTGGGAGCAGGAAACCACTATGCTGAGATACAAGTTGTGGATGACATTTATAATGAATATGCAGCCCGAAAGATGGGTATAGACCATAAGGGACAAATATGTGTGATGATCCACAGTGGAAGCAGAGGCCTTGGCCACCAAGTAGCTACAGGTATTTGGCTAATGTTCTTTTTTGTTCTGGAAATGAAATGTGACTATCTAATATAATATTAGAGCTAGTTTCTACGGCACAATCTTTATGTGGGAAAAATATACCATCTTTATGCAATTAGCTTATATGTATGGAATCTAAAACTATATTTTAAATTCTAAGCCTGCTGGTCCAGATCACAATTTCTGAATTTATTTGGTCCTATTTTTCAGATGCCTTAGTAGCTATGGAAAAAGCAATGAAACGGGACAAGATTATAGTGAATGACCGCCAGTTGGCATGTGCTAGGATAGCTTCTCAGGAGGGCCAAGATTATTTGAAAGGGATGGCAGCAGCTGGAAACTATGCATGGGTCAATCGTTCCTCCATGACTTTTCTTACTAGACAGGTAAGAGGGGACAGCAATAGCTCATCGCTTCTCACTCTTTAAAAATAATCAGGTGTAACTGGCTAAGATGGGGAAATTGAGCTCTAGCTAAGATATTCTTCCCAATCTGGTGTTCTCCAGATGTGTTTTGATGGTGAATGACATGGACTTCAGTCCCAGAATAACTGGAAAGTGTGGATTCGTGAAGTTGGTCTGTGATATATCTATCTTGAAAGAAGTACAGGTAGTCCTTACTGACTGCCTTGTTTAGTGACCATTCAAAGTTATAATGGTGCCAAAAATAGCTTTGCAATCAATTCTTGCATTCACAACAATTATAGCATTTGGTGCTTTGCAACTGGTGCACATTTACAACTGTTGTGGCATCCTGCACTCACGTTATTGCCATTTGTGTGCTTCTTAACTGGCTTGTTCCAAGCAGAATACAGAAGGTAGAAGTAAAATCATAACCCACAGTTAGTTGATTCATTGCTTAGCAAACCATGTTGCTAATCCCAATTGGGACTGGTGCTACTTGTATATCATTGTATACAAACTCAGTTGTATGAATACATTTGGCTTTCTTTTCTAAACATGAAGTGTCAACTGAGTTTTTATTTAATTATAGCCCTTTTCTCCAAAACTGACTTGCCCTAAATTTGGGTCATATTGTCTAGATATTTAGGGTTGAAAGCCAATTCACTTTAGTTCATTAAGATTTTAGATATAGATTGTGCCTATTTTGTGCATGGATAGAGCAATACTTCAAATGTTTGCTCACAGTGTATATGAATAGTTTTGCATAAATAATGGCCATTTTCTGTCTTGAAGAAAGCAGACTTGGCCTGTTTTTCAAATTGAAGGAATTTACAATTTGAGCAGCAGGGCAGCGTTCAGAAAAGGTTTTGTTAATGATTCCGCTGAACTATATGTTCCATTCCAGCCATAGTCTGAAGTACATTTTACCAATAAAATTATAATTGTCTTTTCACATTCACTATCAGTCAGTTTAGAGAATGTCTCCCAAGTACGTTTACTCAAGAATTGCTGTTAAAATCTGTAGTTAGAATGTAGGAAGCTTGAGATAAACTGATCGTTGGAGGAAGAATTTAAGATAATTATAACTAAAATGCCAGTTTCTGTATATACCAATCCCCCAAAACATATTAGAATTATCTTGTGTACCTGTATTGTTTTCTAGGCATTTGCTAAAGTCTTCAACACCACTCCTGATGATCTGGACATGCATGTAATCTACGATGTGTCTCACAACATTGCAAAAGTAGAACAGCACGTGGTAGATGGCAAAGAACGGACCCTGTTGGTGCATAGGAAAGGATCAACCAGAGCATTCCCTCCTCACCACCCTCTTATAGCTGTCGATTACCAAGTAGGAACTTCTGAGATTTCTCTCTTGTTAGCATTCATGAGCTTTCATTTCCCTTTGCATCCTTGGTGGAGTTTTTCACTTAATTGGCTGCACAACCTAGTCTAATTTCTTCACAGATATATTGCATCCTCTTTTGCAAGTTAGTTTAGAGTAGACAGTGTAAATTAGCTGATTCTAATAAAAAATATATATCAACTGTATTTCATCAACATTTTTTTTATTGGTTGATAATAATTTGCAGCCATTCCAGCATAACTCTAACACTCATTGTATGTGTGTCTCCAGCTGACCGGCCAGCCAGTATTGATTGGTGGAACAATGGGAACGTGCAGTTACGTCCTTACTGGTACTAATCAAGGCATGACTGAAACCTTTGGAACCACCTGCCATGGAGCAGTGAGTAGGAGGCCACTTGCTTTATTCTAAATCATGGTGTTTTGCTTCATATTTCTGTACATCTGGATAACATACCAGCCAAAATAAAGCTTCAGTTATTCTGGCAAGAGGAATGGGGTCAGCAATCCATGATTGCTGTGGGATCAAATGAAGATGCGGAGAGATTATAGTAACTTAGAAATGTAGGCAATATAGTATTAGAATGTCCAGGATGATTTAGATAGTGTATGTATTTAACTTATTCAGTCCCAACTCTAAACTGACTCTGGATAATGTACAATAAAACCAAAGGGAGGAACAGTCTAACTACATCCACACTCTGCATAAAATCTGGCAGGGACCCCTGCTAACCTAACCAAAGGCCTGGAAGAACAGCCAGATGTACAAGTGTTTCGGAATACTATCAAGGTGTGACCCACACAAATAGCAGAGGAGATTTCATGCCAGAAGGCAGGGGAAGGTATGCTTCCTGGATCCTGATAAATGACATCATTTAATAAAGGAACCCTGAGCATGCTAATCCTCTTAGATCAAGCAAGCCAGTCTGATATCATAGAAAATAGCTGGTCCTTCATATAACCAGGCTCTGTGCCCTATTAACATTTTATAGGTCAGAGCTACTATCTTCAGTTGCACCCAGAAAAATACTGGTAACAAATACTTACAAGTATTAAATAGGCACACCAAGGCGTGCCCATAACTGCCCGGACTGCTACATTTTTGACCAGTTAAATTCCAAGTGATCTTCAAAGTCAGCCCAATGTAGAGCACATTGCAGTATTGATCCACAAAGTAACTAGAGCATGAGTGACTCAATTACAAATTGATTTCCTGGCTGTTTTAATTAGAATTCAACAATGAGGTGGCTGAAAGTAACTGCATTGAGAACCTGCCCACTTTCTCAAGATTTACTGACTCAAACTCATAATGCAACACAAGACTGAGTCCTTTCACCTTGGTTGGACCTGGCCAGTCAAAGTCCAAGATGGAACATATCTAAGGAACTGTCCTTATATGTGTGTATATTAGAAACCCTTAAGAAATTTAGGAATCTTAAACAGTCTGTTCTGTTTATTTTAATATATGGCCAAGGCCACATATAACTGCTTTCTTCATTCATGTTATTAATGTTTGCTTCAATTTGAAGACTGGTACTTAAAGAAATATATTATCCTACAGGGCCGTGCATTGTCCCGTGCCAAATCACGACGTAACTTGGATTTCCAGGATGTGTTGGACAAGTTGGCAGATATGGGGATTGCAATCCGTGTTGCATCTCCCAAACTAGTCATGGAAGAAGTGAGAGTTCTTTAATCTTTCTTTGGACAATTTTATTTCTGGGGTGGATTTCTTTTCACAGCAAAGTATTAGCATCTATTATCAGAAGAAAAAATAGAGTTGATGAGAATCTACCAAATTAAATGCTCTAATTTCTGCCTGAAAAGGGCTCCCTTTTCCTTCTCTAATTTGGGATAAATTGTTTCTCTTAACACCTCAAAGCATATCATTTCCTTTTTTAATCTCTTTTTTTCCTAGGCACCTGAATCTTATAAGAATGTGACAGATGTGGTTAACACCTGCCATGCAGCTGGCATCAGCAAGAAAGCGATTAAACTGAGGCCCATTGCAGTAATCAAAGGGTAAAGAAGCCATTCACAGAATTTGACAGAACCTCTTCTTACTCAGATTACTCATTAATTATGTTTCCATTCAGATGGAAACTCTGACAAACTGTTTGTTAGAACTCTTGGACTTAAAAAATGTGGTACAAGAAAGGATAAATCAAGATGTGTTGCTGTTTTGATTTGATGGTAAGTTGTGTGAAGCTGACAGTTTCTTTGAGAGAAAGGAGTGAAACAGTTTTTCAGACGATTATTTGATCCTAATAAACAGTCTGTTCTGACCAGTGCTAATTTAATAGCCACCTTTTTTTTCAAGAACATTGTTTTTGAAGGGGGTTTTCCCCCCTAACTTCAGTTGTTTCTGTCTAATAAACATGTAGACTCTTGAGTAATAATATATAACATGGCAAACAGGTTTTTGTTTTGACCAATACATTAAGACTGACTAAGATAGCAATCTGTAGGATGTAGGAAAATTTGGAAATATTTTTACTAGAGAAGTCCATGACTCAGCAGTTTCTGTTGCATCCCCACTACATGACAGTGGGTACTTTGGGAGCAGATGATTCTGTGTACCTCACATGCCAGTAGTATCCCTGATCTGAAGCTTTACTTGAACTTTAGTAGAGGAACAATACTACTTTCTTGAAAAGAAACCAGCTTTCCATTCAAGATCTATATAGCTTTCAGTAATGCTTTAAGCCATTCATGTCTAGAACAGACATAATAGCTATATTGATAAAGAGCCATGGTAGCACAGTGGTTAGAATGCAGTATTGCAGACTAACTGCACACTGCCAGGAGTTCAGTTCTCACCGGCTCGAGGTTGACTCAGTTTTCCATCCTTCCGAGATCAGTAAAATTGCCTCCAGATTGTTGGGGACAATATGCTGACTCCGTAAACCTCTTAGACAGAGCTGAGAAGCAGTATATAAGTCTAAGTGCTATTGCTGTTGCTATCCTCCAAACTGTCATTAAAAATACAAAAAACATGGTGTTTTGTTGCATCTTCTTACTCCCACTGGCTAAACAGAACGTGTAGAGAGAGTTTACTTCTTAAAATGGCAAACTGGAAATTATATACATTTAAATGGCTGCTTATTTACACTTTTTTGAAATTCTCCAAATCTTTTTCTTCAAGATCTTCCAGATCTTGAAACTTTCTAAATATTTAAAACTGCAAGGAAGTAATTGCAAAAGTTACCTTTCATTTAAAGATAATCAGATTTATTTGTAATTTAGGAGTAAAACAGATGTTCTGAAATACTGTGATAAGATGATATTGCTGCTACTCTGTAGTATAAGTAATTTAATTTGAACTTTACAAATAATCACTAGTTGTTTGGTGCTGCAATTCTGAATTCTGTTTGTTTGGACTAATCTTTGTTGATTTTACAGAACTCATCATGAGTTCTTCTTCTTCAGTGTAAAATGTGTACAGTGTATATCAGAGTGCCATCAGTAGAGGGCAGCTTAATAAAGATAAACTGAAAAAAATGCCACTACTAGAGAAATTTTGAAAGAAACCCTGGATAAAGAATGCAGCCTGGCCTTTATGTATTTTTTTGAAAAAGATTGGTAAATTCATACTCACTGATGTCACTAGTAGTTTGGAATTAACTTAACAAGCCTAATAAAATAAAGCTTAAACCTGGGATAAAAAAGAAAGAAAATAGTTTGTAAAAGCTACATAAAATCTACCCTTCAGTCTAATAGCATGACTTATGTCTGTTGAATCACTGTGTGTCTTTATATTGTTTTGGCACTATTGCAAACAAGATCACATGGTCATTAGTACAAAAACAGAAAGCTAATAAACGTGACATTCTAATTACTAACAAAAAAAAGTGCTCTCTTACATTTTTGTGAACTCGTTTATGTGTGCCATCAGGTATATCTAAAGACAAAATATTGATTTAGCCATCCAGTTTGCTTACCTAATACTGCATCAGAAAAGATGAATTACAGTATATGGCTTACAGTATATTAGGGGTATTTGTACCACTGAAGGAGAACTGAGTATGAATAAAGTGGGTTTTGTTAGTGAATTCACTTGGTTGTGTGTGTGTTTTACTAAAGACTATATATTCTTTCATCCCATGTTGAGACTTCATACATACTATATTCTTTTTTAAAAAAAATTTCTAACTGGAATAATGTATGATTCTGGTTCCCACATCAAAGAAAACAAAATATCATTAGCTAGTTAATACAGTTAGATAAGATAATCTTTATTGTCATTTTTTACTGGCACACATTAAATGAAATTCTGTTGCCTGCTCTCAAAAATACATACACACACAAACACATTCGGTAACAAGTCATCTGGAGAAACCTGGAAGTTATGTCAGGATGCTTTTCATTGATTATAGTTCGGCTTTTAATACTATTCTGCCAGCTATTCTTATTGAAAAGCTGACTGACTTGAAGTTTCATCCCTCTATCTGTGATTGGATTAATGACTTTCTGAGGGACCAGCTACAAACAGTGAGGGTTGGGTCTGTCTTATCCACCCCCTGAAGCTTGCACTGGCTCGCCACAGGCCTGTGTGCTTAGCCCCTACCTGTACTCATTGTACACATATGATTGTGTATCATCTGACCCATCCACTGCGATCATCAAGTTCGCAGATGACACCACTGTGGTGGGTCTCATTACAGGTGGAGATGAGACAGCGTACAGGGGTGAGGTACAAAAACTATCCTCATGGTGCCTAGAGAACAACCTGCACCTGAACATTGGCAAGATGAAGGAGATGGTGCTAGACTTCCGGAGGAAAAGAAAGGAACCTGCCCCACTTTACATCAGAAGGGACTGTGTGGAGAGAGTTTCCTCCTTCAAATTCCTGGGAGTCTACCTCTGAAGATCTTACCTGGAAAACTAATACAGCCCAGGTGGCCAGAAAGGCCCAACAGAGACTCCACTTCCTCAGGGTTTTGTGGAAGAACAGGGTAGAACGATGACCCATGACCTTCTTCTACCGGTCTACTATTGAAAGCGTTCTCACGTATTGTGGTTTGATATGTTGGCCTGACAGCCACGGACAGAAAGGTATTGCAGAGGGTGATGAACACGGCACAAGACATTGTGGGCTGTTCCCTGACCACTGGATGACATCACCAGGGCTCGTTGCCTTGGCAGAGTGAGGAAAATTCTCAGGGATGACTCACACCCTGGTTGGTACCTTTTTACTCTTCTACCATCAGGTAGGAGATACAGAAACATAGCCAGCCGTACCAACAGGCTGAAGAACAGCTTTTATCCATGGGCTGTCAGGCTTCTGAATGGGACATAACTTTATAACTTTATGCATGACACACTTGTGAGGCCGGCGCGATGTGCAATTAATTTACAGGGTGAAATAAGTTGGGGGTTTGTAGTCACCACGAGTTTGTGGTGGTGGGAGGGCACAGAGGGAGGCTCAGCCAATTTCATTGTATACACGTTATACTTTGATAATAAAGAGTTTATTATTATTTTTACACATAAATAACACACATACACATGCTACATACATATATATCTGTTCTGCTTCAGATACCACAAAGATACCACAAAGCCTCCTTCCAGAAGGCAACAAGGAAAACAGGTCGTGAAGAGGATGTGTAGTATCCCAGACAACATTGTAGACCCTGCTCAAGCATCACTTATATGCTATGTCCTGAATAGAAGGGAGTGCACTGCTGATAATCTCTGCCATCCTCACCTCTCTGCACCTCCTTCATATCTGAAGCAGTAATGCTTTCAGACCAGACTGTAATGCAATATGACAGGATGCTCTCGATCGGCCTTCTGTAGAAAGTGGTAAGGATGGGAAGGAAGATTATTTTTCTCATGCGATGCAGAAAATGCAGGTGCTGCTGTTTCTGCTTCACTAGTGTCTCACTGTTGAGTGATCAAGCTAGCCTATTCATTAGCTGCACACTCAGAAACCTGACGTTAACCACCTTGACAGGTGAATCATTAATATATAGGTGTGTGGCATTATCTCTCATTTTTCCAACATTTAAAACAAGGTTGTTTTAATTATACCAATTCACCAAACCTCTGCCTTCTTGAGGTAATCATCCTCATTGTCATTCTGAATAAGGACCACTATTGTTGTATCATCTGCATACTTCAGAATATGGTTGATGGCAAACCTAGCACAACAGTCATGGGTCAATGGTGAACAACAGCAGACTTAGGACACAGCCCTGAAGAGAACCTGTGCTCAAGAAAATGGTATTAGAAATATTAGTCCCAACTCGCACATACTGGGGCCTATCAATAAGAAAATCAAGCATCCAGTTGCACAAAGGTGTATTTAAAGCCTGAAAGGCCCAGTATGAGCTTGATGCAAATATCATGGTAACCCTTGGGGAGACGTGCTGCCTGACCCCAAAAGCAGTAAGATCATCTGGGGCATGGACGTTAACAAGAAAGAGGTCCACGGATGCTGTGTTGAGGATCCCAGAGTAAGTTTGCTAACTTCCCTTTTTGCAATAAACTCAGATCATGAATAATGGGGAAAATGGAACAACTGAGTAATGAAGTACTGAAGCTAATACTGTAATTCTAAAATTATTAATTAACATAGAGCTGGAAATCATTACTAATCTATGTGCAAACCCTCAAGCAAATCCAATGTAATGGGTTAACACAAGAAATTTCAGAAATTTGAGTTTTGTAGTATTCTCTGTATGCCTGCTACTTCTTGTTTTACCATAACTTTTGCTTGGAGAACTAAGAACTAGAATTAGTTCAAGAACGATACAGTCTCTCATAATATGGTATCTTCTAAGTCAGGGGTCTTCAAACATAGCCCTTTTATGACTTGTGGACTTCAACTCCCAGAATTCCTCAGCCAGCGTACCTGGCTGAGGAATTCTGGAAGTCCACAAGTCATAAAAGAACCAAGTTTGAAGACCCCTGTTCTAAGTGTTTCTTAACTGTAGTCCTCATAAATTCTACCGACTATACCCAACGCGCATTTAGGCCATAACAGGCAAGAATGTCCGAATCCTATATTTTTATTTTCTATTCCTATATGACCTATCCCACAACTGGTGGTTTTGTTGTTCACTTGAGTGGCAATGTATAGTCTCATACTCCATCTTGGCAAAGACAGCTGAGCTATTACCTTTGTTCTTTCTCATATAAACATGCATAACAAGCTCCCTGTTCTCTTCAAAGCAATACTCTTCGTCAAGCATGTACTGGCATGTGCATTAAACTTCAGATGGGAGCCTTCTGCTGCAGAGAGAAAAAAAGAGACCAGTTTGTAGCTGGTACTTTGCTTTGTCTCTTTCCGGTAGGGGATTATTACATGGCATGAGCCCAAAGTTGCTGACATTATTTGAAGAAACCAAAAAGTGTATGAAACAGTGCTGATCAAAATTCAGCTTCAGCATCAGTGC